CTCCATTATCTACAGCATATAGACCAAACTCTAGCTTACCAAGAACCAGGGAAGAGTTCTTGTTTGGATCCTGAATGACACATGTATCTTATGTAAACTTAATATCACATCCAAGGTCTTTGCATAACTTATGTAAACTTAATATCACATCCAAGGTCTTCTCATGTTTGGCACAAATCCAGCATTGCCAGAGGAAAAATTGTTATTAGGCCTCACTTGACCTGTATTCTGAAACCTATAGTTTCTTGTAGGTTTAGGAGCTGAGTAATACTGATTATACTTCCTTCTATCAGCTGCAAAAGCCATAGTGTTGGTGTCATCTATCATACTCACTTGCCTTTGCTTTTCCTCTTGCATCAACAACCAGTACGCCACTAATATGTTTGGAAGAGGCTGCATCATCAGTAAATTTGTTCCCACGCCAGCATACTTCCCATCCAATTTCATCAGCATTTGCACTAGTCTTTCTTCTTGTTGTTGCTGCAGAATTTTCTGACTCTGATTACATGTGCATCCATTGTAAGTACAGACTAGTATTGGATTCAAACCACTTATCTCATCCCAAAGGGCCTTGATCTAAGCAAAGAATTCAGCAATTAGAGTAGTACCTTGTACTGGCTCATTCAAGGACTGTTGTAAAGTATACAACTGAGGTCCTGAGCTTTGAGAGTATCTCTCTTCAAGATCCTTCCAAATTTCTCTTATAGAAGTGAAATACATAATACTCCTTGCTATAGTACTATCAACTGAATGCAGAAGATAACTAGTGATCATTGCATTGCAACGATCCCAAGCTTGAACCTCAGGTCCAGAAGTTGGCCTTAACATTGTTCCATAAACAAAACACAACTCGTTTTTGGCTGAAAATGCTATAATCATACTTCTTCTCCATTCATTATAGCCTTCACCAGAAAACTTTACAGTAACCAGAGAATCCTACAAATTCACTAGTGAGAACTAGATTGTTTGTTTCAGGCATTTTTGAAGATTTGGATTATGAAGATTTGAAGTAATTGAGGTATTCTAATTGAAACAGAAATCGAATCAAAGAAAGGTCAACAAATCAAGTATCGCAGATCACAATGTGAATTAACGCAATAAATACTAATTAAACAACTCCAGAATTTCAGAAAATAAGTAGAACAATGCTCAAACAAAACAATCGAAGAACTACGAAACTTCACCCAGAATACGAGCAACAAAATTTCAACGAAATCAACAAAACAATTCTAGTGTATGATTGACCTGCTCTGATACCATAATGAATCAATCAAGCTTAGCAAAGAACGAGAACCTCCATTAATGGTTAAATAAGTTTTAGCTGAATTTTATAGAGAGAAAGTGAAGAAAAGAAGGAGAAGAAGAAGAAGAAGAAGAATGAAGAGAGAGAGAGAGAGAGAGAGAGAGAGAAAACTTGAGGGAAAAGTTTCTGTTAATTGAATTACTCTAAGTATTACAGATAGAAACTATTTAAAGCAAGCAATAATTAATACAGGAAGCTAACAGAATAAAAGTTTGTTACAACAAACACAACAAACTTACTCTGACAAGGAGGATGAGCTGACAACAGTAGTAATATCTGTAATATGATGCAAGCCTAATTTTTAACCATAAAAGCATGGAATTTATTTTATGATTTTTTTGCTATTGTTTGATAATATGATTTTATTCAAGGATCAATGCTATCGATAGTGTGGTTATTTTTTTTTTTTTTTAATATATAACTTTTAATTAGTAGGAGAATTATATATCGACGGCCTAGATTAAAAGATTACAAAGACTATCAAAATATTGTAGCCATTAATTTTCTGAAAGAGTGCATTTTATTAGATAGAGTAGTATAGGGACAACACTAATAATGGCAATCAACTACTCCGATTACTCTCGAAACTCAGTACATGAATCATTCCGGTTGATTACAATTTTATTTTATTTTTTTGGTCAATCAGCAAAGCCAGTGGCGGACTTACATACAACTAAGTGGGGTCAAGGGAACCCACTTTAACATGGAAGAATAAATTTTTTCCCTCTAAAATTAAGCTTTTTTCTTACAAAATTAAGTTTTTTTTTCCATAAAAATTACTCACTTGACCCCATTAAAATTTGTAAAATGTTATTTGACCCCGTTAAATATTTTTTCTAGATCCGCCACTGAACAAAGCATGGTTTTGTGGGTGTCACTGATTGATTTAGAGTGTAATGTGCAATGTTAAATAAGCTAAATAAGTTTTTGGTGAGATAGTGACTTAAAAGATGAATGTGAAAGAATGAATAACGAAAATGACCTTAGTAACACGCGAAACATGTGGTTCTTCTAATTTGTGATGTGAAAATCTAAAGCCCTAAAGGCTCAGATTATTTCTTTATTCTCATTGTAGACCCTGTTTATAAGAAAAGCATTGTACAACTTTTGGTTAGCCAGAGGTTTTTCTCTATATAAATCCACCATTCATTTAATATTGTAGCATAGGGGGAGTGTAAAAGATTTTACGTAGAAGAAAAACCAAAGAGAGAGAAAGATACTATGGAATACATTAGATCAAATATTATTTCAACTTTATTCGATGGATTTGATTATGTACACCTAAATTAACATAAACATTGGTTTTGAAAGTGTACTTAAAAGAGGTTTGTATGTCATCAACGCTTAAAAATAAAATCAATTATTGAAATTTTATGTGTATAAATAAATAAATAAACTCAAATTGTGCTTAAAATAAATAAGCGCCAGTTAGTGGATTATGCTATCAATTTTTTGTCCCCCAATATGTAACATATGATAGATTTCAAGTTAATACGCCTCGTACTTTGTGCTCAAATCAAACGTGTCCTTTGTCTTAGGTCGACATGGAAAATTGATGGCCAAATATAGATGATTTGATTAGGACATCAGCAAGGCCCAAAATCGTAGTTGGTATGGGCTGCATTTTTAAATTTTGAGGTGGGGCGCAACCTTGTCTAATTGTCTCTAGTTTTTGTTTTCCAATAATGAAGAGGTTTTGAACCTATGTGTGTAATAAACTAATAATACATCTGTACAGTAGTTAAACAGTACTCTTTTTTTCTTTTTGTTTTTTTTTTTTTTTTTTTTTTTTTTTTTTTTTTTTTTATGAATTTGTAAAACGTTCCATCAAATATGTTTTTTTTTTTTATTATTATTATTATTAATTTTTTTTTTTTTTTATCTTGCTTTTATTTAGGATTTTGAATTTAATGGTTTGAATTTGTGATTATGATATAGTCTATTTGATTTCAAAGTTGATTATCCATGGATTTTCTGGCTCTAGATGTATTTTGTTTGTAAGAAAAAATGAAATTAACAATGTAAAGTCCTATTGTAATTCAGGAAGATGAATTGATGTTCATTACCAGCAAATTGATTTTCAAAATTGGCCAATGATGTTTATTTTATTGACTTATGTATAAACTCATATTTAAGTAAAATTAAATTAAGTAAAAAAAAAATAATACAATGTATATGTTCATATATAGAGAAGATATATAATGTTCATTTAAATTTCATGCTAATAAAAAAGTATTATGTTCATTTTAGCAATACTAGTATATTGATGGCATCACAAATTTTATAAAATAAGTGTTCATTCATGAAATATAAGTTTATAGTCATTTAAAATATGTTTGATTTGAAAAAGGAATCAGTATTTAAACCTTTATTGTATTTGGCGGGAAAATAATTAAACTTTATATGTGATGTTCACAATCCTACTTTTGATGGTGAACTCAAAATGAGTATATAATATATAAATATATGTTGTTGAAAGCTCTGCAACATTATAATAAAATCAATTAATGTGTAGATTTTAAGATATGGTCAAAATAATGGAAGGGTATCCATTTTGGGCTCAATTTTAATATTTTCCTCATATCAATATCTTTTGTATTAAATAAAAATCAGGCTTATAATTTATATTTTAAAGCTTATTTGAAGGGTTATCCAACCATATAAATCTCATATAAAAATTCAATTGTTTGACAATCAAGTGAGTTTAATTTTCGACTAGAGGGAACAAGGAAAGTAGGCTAGCTTTAAGTTTTGGTTTTCAGGTTAATTAATGAAGAGAATTTCAAGCAATTCCATATGTATCCATTCTGTAACTTGAAAAAAATTAGGCAGAATGTATGTTTTCAATTATCGGGTGTCAATTGGGGAGACACGATTTGATGTCTATAATAGTGTACTCCCTTTGTATGGATATCTTTAAGGGACAAAGGAATTATTAGAACTGAAATAAACAACTCTCCTAAAGATGGAAATATTTAATGGATATATACTAATCTGATCCACATGCTTTAAAAATGATATAATTAAACTCGAAACAGATAAATGAAAAGTACGTAGGTGATTAATGAAGTGGGTGATGGATCGAATCATATCTTGGTGGAGCTCCACTCCACCCGTTAACAATCTACCCACCTTGTTAACATATACTAATAAGGAACTTGTTCTCTTCACTTGAAACATGCAAGGAGATTTGGTCTGGTCTGAATTTTTATTATATGGTTTGGTTTGATTTGATTTAATATTTTGACTTAAATTTGACCGCATTTTAATACTAATCTATATAGAAAAACATTGTCCTCTTGTTAGATTCGTCTCGTTATGACCTTTTCTAATATGTAATTTTCATAAATTTTTTTATGCGTAATTAACGATATTTTGCAACAATTAAATGATAATTAAAAGTACTAATCTGATTTGAATTTATTAAAGAATAAGAAGTAATAAATATCTGAAACAAGTTAAAGAGAACAAATTCAATATTTTTTGTCTAAAAATCTTGTGAAAAAATAGAAATAATGCAAGAAAAAACATTTACATTTTATGCAAATTAAATTTTTTGAAGCAATTTCATGTTATTGTTTCCTTTTTAATACTCGTACATTTATTAATAAAATAAAAAATATGACTACTAGAAAATAACCATAACTTAATGCTAATGTGGATATTATTCATATTATATATCCACCCGTTTCATTCGCAGATGACGGATGAATGAAAGTGAATGATGAGTTGAGTTTAGCAGGTGACAAATGAAGCTCTACCCTAATTCAAATCGGATTCATTGACATCTCTAATCCCTCATACCCTCTAAAAAATGGACACTTTTTTGGAGCTACCTACTTGGGAATATAAGTAGATCATTCTAGTTGTTTACAAAACCAAAACCAAAACCATACGTCCATATTTCCAAAAATCCAGTGACCTAACTACTATCCTCCACAATAGCAAAACTTACCAAGTGAAGATGCTACGTTTCGTCCGAGTAATTGGCTTCTCTTCATTGGCATCTTCTAAAAAATTAGTTGAACCATCAAAAATATACAACCCAACTTTTCCCAACTACAACCCATATCACTTCATCAGTAGTAAGAACAGTTTGAGATCCTTGTGTAATTTCGTCACACCAATAAATTGTGCACATAATGGTGAAGAAGTTTTGGGTCAACAAGAAGAGTTAATTATTCCTAAACATGTGGCTATAGTCTTGGATGGATCTAGAAGATGGCATAAAAACCATGGCCTAGATCTTGATTATAAGCCTTTCTTTCAGGCTTGCATGAGGTTTTTCGAGTGTTGTCTCAAATGGAAAGTTAGTAGTGCCACACTCTATGCGTATGGTCTTAGAAATTTTAAGATGCGATCTAAGGTATCCATATCTTGGTCAATTTTTTTTAATGTTTTTTTAGGTTTTTGGTAAGGGTACTTAACTTATATTAGAGAGTTCTTGTAATAGTATAAAAGAATATTTTTTTGCCCACTAAAAATGCCTCACATTTCTTCACATAATAACTCATGTGCAACTCGCAAAGATAAAATTAAAATAAACTTCTTTGAAAGTATACATGCTTGCCCCCCTCTATTAAAAGTTGAAAATTTTAATATGCATTAGATGCAAGATTTAACCAATGTGCTTTTTACTCATTTGAAAGATTATTTATTGCTCATTTAATCATAAGAAAATGAGCAAATAAGTATCTTTAGATGAACCGTGAAATCGATTGTTTGTTAAAAGTAATTCAATGAAGATGTTCTTGTTTCTATTTTATTATTTGTATATGACAATGAAAATTCTCGATTATTTTTCAACATAATTTCAAAATGAAAGAAGTATTAAATAATTAAATTTGACTAATACTATGCAAATTACATAAACATTTTTTCTTTACTATAAAGGCTCCATCGACTTTGATATTTTTGGCATCGCCTCGAGTAGATTTTAAAAATAAGCATTAATAGATGAATAAATCCTCCTTGAAGATACATATTTAATTTTATTCTAACGCTTCCTCCTAAATTTTACATCACAGGAAGAAGTTGATTTGTTTCTAAATCAGTTAGAAACATTTTTAGAGGAAGAATTGGAATATTTTACGAGGTACTCAATCCATACTTTATGTACTACTTCAGTGTTGCATAGATACTCAATTTAAGAAAAATATTGAACAAATGTAAATGCTTGCATGTAAGATAAAGTATTAGAGCAAATATAAACGGATAATTTTTTACAACCTTTTTTTGTAATAAGTGGGTTTTTATAAAAACAAGAATTTAAAAGGTGGTTTTTCACAAAATTTCCTTTTTTTTTTCTTTTGCAAAAATTGTCATGGTATCTGTTTCTTGGTATAACATTGGTATGTACCAATACTTAGCGCAATATCAAACAACCTGTTCAATAACCAATTCTACTTATTGAGTACGAAATAGAGTACGTATACCTATCATTGGCAACCCTTGTGATGGATATACTTAGTCTATTTCGTGACAATGGGCCAAAATAGTGTAAGTTCATTATTTATTTATTTTTTGGCAACCCTTGTGAAACAGACAAGGAGTAAGAGTGTTGGCGGTAGGAGAAAAGTACATGTTATCTGAATCACTTCAAGCCACAATAAAGAATGTGGAGGAAGCAACAAAAGACAATGCAAAACTTGATTTAGTCCTTCCAACATGCTACACTTCACAAAGCGACATAGTTCAAGCAACAAGAAAAATTTGCCACAAAGTAAAGGAAGGAAGTATTACAATAGAAGATGTTGATGAAGATTTGATTCAACAACATCTTGCCGTCCTTGGCTCTCGACCTATTCCAGACCTATTTATACGAACAGGCGGCCAACTTCGCGTAGGCATGTTGTTGGGGTGGCAAATTGCCGATGTTCATCTACATATTACCAACACTTGTGCACCTGACTTCGGGGAAGATGTGTTCCTCGACGCTTTGCGTTCCTATCAGCAAAGACATACAATGTTTGGTAGGTAAAGTTAGAAGCTAAGCTACTATGTTTTATTTTTTACCTTAATCTTGTCAAAGAAATTAAAAATTCCAATTAAGGTGTTTGGTGTGAAAATAGTATGGTAGAGGGGGTGTACCATGTGCATGGTACACCCGGAAGTACATTACATATAAATAAAAGAACATTAGGACAAATTTAATAATGTTCTTTTATTTATATCTAATGTTCATTTTTTATGAAGCCTCATTTATATGTAATGTTTATTATTTTATGTACTCTATGTTCGTTTATAATGTATAATAAATTATTATAACTGCGATTATTTTTTATTTATAAGTAATGTTCTTTTATTTATAGGCAATGTTCTTTTATTTATATGTAATGTTCTTTGTTCTACTTATAGGTAATGTTCTTTTATTCATAGGGTGATGTTCTTCCGGGTGTACCATGCGCATGGTACACCCGGGTGTACGAAACAATTATTGTGTTTGGTGCATGCTTCTTGTATATTGCGATCGAGCCACCTTTCAATACTATTCTTTTTACTCTTGATAATTAAATCCCAATGCCACAACAACACACACACAATCATGGAACGTCATACGTTTTAAGTTTTGAATACGAAGTATGTGCTCTACTACATATATTCAATATAAACTATTCTTCCTATGTTTTTATTTAGGAAATTTGTGAGAAAGATCCTTTAAAGTAGACCGCTTTGTGATAAAAGTCCTTTCATAAAAATGGTGGCACCAAAGGTACTTTTATCACATTTAGGTTAGGGCGAGGGTCTTTTGGCCAGATTCTGGCCATTGACTTTTTTATGGCCAAAAAACGTCACGTGACTTGCACGTGACCACTTAAATCGTTTTTTTTCCCATTTCCCTTTATTAAGCCCTAATTGAAATTCAAATTCCTAAATTGAAATCCCGAAAATGAAAATGCAATAAAACCAACAATAACAAATAAATTTATACAATTAACAAAGGGAATTATCTCTTAATTTGGATCGAATTTCCTACAATTGCCTTCAATTTTAATGGGAGGGTTTAAATTGAATTTTGATGAGTTTTCTTGAGAAATTAGGGTTCGAATAGAGGGGTTGATAAAGAAATTAGGGCTTAATAAAGGGAAAAAGAGGGAGAAAATATGTTAAGTGGCCATGTGAGTTTTTTTGGCCGAAATAAAAAAGTCAACGATCAGAATTCGGTCAAAGGACTCTTGTCACAACCTTAGAGTGATGAAAGGACCTTTATCACAAAGTGGCCTACTTAAAAGGACTTCTAACAAATTTTCCTTTTATCGTATTCCATTTTGACTGAGCATGTATGCCAGAACATTGACAAATAATATCTTAAATTATCAATTAAATATTGATAGACTATTCATTAGATGATACCAATAGGTACCCAAATGACCATATACATTGTTTCTTATGTATAAATCATTACATTTTTGGTCAAAGTAATTCCAATCGTTAATGACTCGAGTAAAACCTAATTAACTAGTTGGTACTTGTGTATATTTGGTAATCATGGATGTACTACCAAAATGAAGTCTAAAATAAATCCTAGATTCTTGTTGGTACTAATTTAAAAAGAAATGATTGGTATAAAATGATCTATTACCAATCAAGAGAATATTTACTATTCGCTGTAAAACTCTCATTTGGGACGATAATTGAGTGCTCTTTTAAACTCAATGACCTTCTCTAAACCGAATTTTCAACATATAGTATAATAGTAATGAGAGTAGAAGTTAAAATGTATGCTTAATCCTCCAATCTTGTTTAGAAAGCTGGAAAACTGTTCTAGTCTAAATTCATCTAGAAGCCCTTCCCAGCTTCCCTCATTCGTTTGTCTACAACATACCGAAAACAGTTTCTAACACTCCAGCAATCGTAACTACTTTTGAAAACAATCTCCTACGGAATCAAGTGATTCAAGTCTCCCTAACATCGCTTGAGATAAAATACGCCAATCAAAATTCCAATTAAAGTGGTCCAAGTTAGCGAAAACAGACGTTAACTCAACATCTTTAGCTAACTTCAAAAATTTACGGGTTCAAATAATCCATGCTAGATATTCCCTAGTTATAGTCTTTGCACGTGCTTTATTATTTTGAGGGTTTTTACAATTTTATTATAATTTGCAGCGAGTTTATGGAATAATTTTTGAATTTCAAATCTCTACTTTAAAGACTATCTATTTGAGTTGTACTTGGGGACTATCTATTTGATTTATCATATCAATGATTCATTGTATAAGCCCTCTCAATTATAAAATGAATCATTGTTTATATATTAATTAAAAAAATCTTGTTACCCAATAATACTAATTTTTCAGACAAACACTGCTGAGGCTTATCTAGATCATGTTGCTACGCTTGGTCATTACATGCAATCTTATCAGGATATTGAATGATTTATTTCTAGATTATAAATTCCTCTTTTTTTTTTTTATTTAGCTAATGCTTTATCATATATAATTATGCTTTAATACTTTGTAAAATTTAGGTATGCTTTAATCGTGTTTAATTTTGTTTTTGTTGTGTTTATTTATGTTTTATAATTGATGATTTTTGTATGATAACTTGGAATATATCAATAAATACTGAATTATGTGGCATAAATATATAGAAGGCGCAACACCTCTTTTCCCATTTATTATTGCTCATGTAGTCATGTGTCTTCAGTGTCATGTGCTTTTGTGGACTTGTGGTTGTACATGTAACTCTTTAACACCACATTGCGAGTATAACTATTATGTATTTATGTCTAATTGATGTACAAATTTGTCTAAAAGATATCAAAGATACATTTCATACGGACAACTTATAGCACAATAGCAACATTATTCTAGAATAATTGAATATACTTTTGACTTTTTCCTACGTTTTTAGGGGGTATTTGATTTTAGGGGGTATTTGGTTCATCAAGTTGGAATGGATTGGTATACAATCTCATACTAGATTGGTATGAATTGTAAAACTCATACTAGTCCAAAGTTGTTTGGTTTTATTCTTGGAATTGATGCTATCGTTCATTAATAGAATGGATTGTGAATCTTAGAGGGAGGGGTGTGTATGGGATTCCATTGGTATGGGAAGAGTTAAAACCCCTTGGGTATAAGATTCCATTACTTAAAATATAAACCAAACAAAATACTAGATGGAATGTATTCTAACTCCATTCCGATCCATTCCAAATGATCCAATCAAACGACCCCTTAAAAGTATGAGTAAACTCTTATTAATAGTGTTAAGACTATTATACCCCTAAAATGTTTATTTATGTATTTACCCCTTTAAAAGTAGGACCACACTTTATAAATAGTGTTGAGACAATTATGTTCTTAAAATGTTAATTTATTTATTTACCCTTATTAATGTTAATTGTTTTTTTTTCTTTGAACTCTTAATAATAGTGTGTGGACATTTATAACCCTAAAAATATTTATTTACATATTTTCCTTAATTAACCTTACTAAATACTCCAAACCAAAAAAACTTCCAGACATGACTAGTTATGACGTGCGCATTATACGCGTTTAACCATCCTAGTTTCATCAGAAGTTTGTTTAATAATTGATCGTGTAATCAATTGATTGTCTCAATAATTTTCTCAATCATTGCAATTAGGATATTGACATGATCATTGTGTTATGCATGAATTATTTTCTTTTTATTGATGAGAAAGTTTATATGTACACTATCAATTTATCAATTATTATATTATCTTTTTGTATTTTTTTTATTTGGGCTACATAATATGATAAAATTAATCTATTGACGTACCAAATAACCAAATAAGCACCTTTCTTTTTACAACTAAACATTATTAGAGCATAACTAAATATGTTAACAACAAAGCATATCATTATTGATGATTCATATGTACTGTATGACATGCATACAACCAATTAAACACAATGAAACATAACTTATAATAACTATGGAAAAACATTAATGAATAAATAATTAATCAAAACAAAATATATTAGGACAAATTGGTTTTAATAATCCCAACTTTAACTCATTCGCTTTTAATAATCCCAACTTTGAATTATTATTGAATAATCCCAACTTTCAGGAGTGTTTGCTTTCATTGAACTGAAATGACCGGTAACCGAATAAACAACCTAATTCTTTATTTTAAGTTATAAATTGACACGTGTACTTGTCTGATTGGTTTAATCTTTCCCTTCCCCTTACCTTTCTCTCTCCTCCCTTGAACCTGACCACCACCTCCCTCCACCACGCCACCGCCTTCGGTTGCCCACCACAACAACATCAAACCCATTTCCCTTCTCCCTAAACCGCCGACAACTCCAATCATTAGTAGAAAAAGGGAAATGTGCACCGATTCAAAATCGGATTTTCGCACCGGTTTTGAACCGATTTAGATTTAAGGGATGCCAAAAAGTGAGATTATTCACACCGGTTCAGAATCGGTGCGAATAATAGTTATTAGTAGCAATTAACCGGTGCGAATAAAGCCTACAATTTTTTTTAAAAAAAAGGTATTTGCACCGGTTAACCGGTGCAAATAATGCCCTGAAAAAATAAAAAAAAATAAAATTTTGTTTTTTGCATTTTTTCACCTATATGACAACACACAGTTGTATATAATCATATTATACGTAAAACACATATCTTTTATTATAACTTGTAGTTTTACACTTTTCATCCAAAAAAAATAAAAAATTACAAATTTAGAATGACCAAAATAGCAGAACAGTAGCAGCCAGTAGCAGAGCAGCAGTAGCTATAGAGGAGAACAAATACCTATACAAAGAAAACAATGAACTAGTTAGTTGATTAATCTAAACCAAACAAAATCAAGAAAATCTTTGAAATATCTCGAAGATTATTATAGAAATCCCTACACTTTATTCCAACACTAACAAGTCAGTACTTTCCTTGACGAAACTAGATTCTTGCTGATATGAAATCCACACAAATTTCACAATTCACTAAGCTTAAAAACCCAAAGACAATAATCTGTATAATCTGAATTGAAACAATGACAATAAGGATCAAGAATAGTTTAGCCAAAACCCCAAAGCTAGACATGCTTGTGCTGTTTATTTATTTATTTTAAAATCAATCCACGCTTAAAGTATCAAACAAACTAAAACAACACATAGAAGTATGCCTAATTGATAAGGATAAAGGTACAGACAATTGTACCAAAGATTCAACCATTTCATTCTGAGATACATATGACAAGTCAGTGAAGATAGGAAGTGATTAATTACCCATTATTTCCCCTTCTAATCATTCACATTCTAATGGGACAACTTAGGAAGTGATTAATTACCCATTGCCTCTTCTAATCATTCACATTCTAATCATATAAATAGCATAAACAATAATCTAATTCACAATAAAACGAACTGTATAATTCAAGAAACTAAACAAGAAGACTAAAATAGGAACTAAAGCAAAGGAAACAAACATCAACTCTAAAAATTCATCCTAATACATAACCTAAATTAACACACCAAGAACCACTACAAGAAAACAGCTCAATTCCGACGAAAATAATCCGTCGGAAACATTGAAAAATCCGTCGGAATCGGCCATTCTGACGGAATTTCGTCAAAAGTTGTCTGTCGTAACGACCCTTGTCGGAAAATTCCGTCGGAAGTCACCTTTCCGACGAACTTTCCGACGGAATTACGTCTGTCGGAGCTGATTTTGACTTAAATTGAAAGTCTGTCGCAACATTCCAATGAAATTATTTCTGTCGTAAATGGAAGGCTTCCGACGGAATTTTTCCTCGGAATATCTTACCTTCCGACGGAATTTGTTCATCGAAAAAGTGGGGCTTCCGACGGATCTTTTTGTCGGAAATGAATTCCTTCCGACGGATTTATTCGTCGGAACATAAACAATTCCGACGGATTTTTCCGTCGGAACCTCTTATGTTCCGACGAATAAATCCGTCGGAAGGTATTCATTTCCGACAAAAAGTTCCGTCGGAAGGTTCCTGTTTAATAAGCAATAATTTAATTATTTAATTCGATTTTGCTCACCTATATCCTGCACCTAATTTGTGTTAATTTTGAATTGACGATTTAAATACGAAAATATTTTCATATATATATTAACAATAATATTAATGTATATATTTTAATTTGTGCAACTATACAACATAATTTAAAACTAAATACATGTCCAATTATGTACAAAAATTCTAAGCTACATTTGGAGTACCTATCCCTGCACCGCCGCTACCTGGGTCGTCGTTCGTAGGGTCTCGACGCTGATGTGGAATGTTGGAACATGAGTAGTTGCTGGAGAATCGACGCATCATCTCTTCATACCTCTCTTGGTTTCTCCTTTCTATTTCGGCCAATCGAGTCTCCAACTCGACTTCCATTTCACTCCGCATAGCTTGCATCCTCTCCTCCAACCTCTGGTCCATCTGATCTTGCATCTGGGAAAGAAAGGAAGGCGTGTACTGCTGGGAAGACTTGGAACTCTTCCGGCTGCCGTAATACAGCTCCGCACCTTGGCCAAGTCCCTTTACACGACCCTTCTTGTTTCGACCACCTACAGTTTCCCAGTACAACTCATTTGGACTCTTTTGAATCCCTTGGGTGCTTGCTTCTGCAACTTTCTTCTGGTAGGCCTCCTACAAGATAGACATATGAAAAGTTGCACAAATTAAAGATTTAACTTAAAATCAAAATTCTTTGCCTATTTTCTACATTTCTTAACAAATGAATCATTTCTTTGTCATACCATGTTTATTATAGATAGTTTTAGATGTATATGCCGTGAAATCGCAAAAAAAAAAACCAAGTCTCTAAGGTTTGGGAGCGAATTGGACCAAAACTAGAACCAATAGACCCCTATATGACCTATACTTTGCCTATTTTCTACATTTCTAACCAAATGAACCATTTCTTTGTCATAACATGTCTATTATAGGTAGTTTTAGACGTATATGCCTTGAAATCACAAAAAAAAAGCCAAGTCTCTAAGGTTTGGGAGCGAATACGACTAAAATTCAACCTATTGAGGCCTATATGACCTATCCTTTGCCTATTTTCTACATTTCTAACTACATGATCCATTTTTTTGTCATAACATGTCTATTATAGGTAGTTGGGGTTGTATATGCCTTGAATTCGCAAAAAAAAAAACAAGTCTCTAAGGTTTGGGAGCGAATTGGACCAAAACTAGAACCAATAGGCCCCTATATGACCTATACTTTGCCTATTTTCTACATTTCTAATCAAATGAACCATTTCTTTGTCATAACATGTCTATTATAGGTAGTTTTAGACATATATGCCTTGAAATCACAAATACAAACCAAGTCTCTAAGGTTTGGGAGCGAATACGACCAAAATTCAACCAATTCACCCCTAAATGACCATTCCCTTGCCTATTTTCTAAAGTTCTCACCTAATGAACCATTTCTTTCTCATAACATGCATATTATAGGTAATTGGGGTTGTATATGCCTTGACATCGCAAAAAAAAAAACCAAGTCTCTAAGGTTTGGGAGCGAATTAGACCAAAATCCAACCAATAGACCCCTAAATCACCTATCACTTGGCTATTTTCTATATTTCTCACCAAATGAACCATTTCTTTGTCATAACATGCATATTATATGTAGTTTTAGGTGCACATGCCTTGAAATCACAAATACAACCAAGTCTCTAAGTTTTGGGACCCTAAAAGACCAAAATTCAACCAATTCACCCCTAAATGACCATTCCCTTGCCTATTTTCTAAAGTTCTCACCTAATGAACCATTTCTTTCTCATAACATGCATATTATAGGTAATTTTAGGTGCACATGCGTTCAAATCACAAAAAAAACCTATTTTCTAAGTTTTTTCTTATAACATGCATACGCAATATGCTGTGCTTTGGCGTTGGCTGGTACCGTGCCTTTCCCAGGCACTTCCTTGAAGTGTGTCTTCATAAACAGCTCATGAGATGTTGGGAGCTGCCCTTTATTCTTCGTCGCCTTTTATTATACATGCAGAAAATGATAAACTTTAAATGTTAGAGCACCTGTACAAAAGAATAAACCCGACCCTCCAATTTAAAAGGAATATTCAATAAACTTACCATTCGTTTAGCATGTTGTACAACTGACATCGAACCCTGATAGTGGGTAGCTTCAACCGGACTTTCCATTGACCCACCCCTCCTGTTCTTCTTGTTTTGGGACGACCTTGCCTTGAAAGTTGGATCGGCGGCAACAATATCCATCATCTTCTTGTGGACGTCCTCAATGAGCCAGGCTGGCCTTGCGCCTCTCATCTTGTGCGTGACTGTGTAGAACATGTCACGCAACCGAGTAGCAAGCCTCTTTTCAAACGTGTGCTTCACATCCTCGGTCAACTGAGGTGCCCACGTGAATTCCTTCTGCAATTGATAAACGTTATGTCATATTTCCAAATTCAGCTCAACATTTTTAAAAAACATGTTTTCAATTAAGTTTATAATAGCTTACGCAGAATAGGTTCCACCAATGTTCCTTGGTTGCTGCATCCACCTCGTTGTAATTCCTCCAAGGCTGTCGATAGTACCCGGTTATCGCCCCGGATACCGCAGTCTTGACCTTGTCGTCGTCAAACCTACATGCAATGAGGAAACCACAAAGTTAGATGACCATGAACTACAAGTATTGAAAAACTTGTTACAGGTAATAAATAGGTTTTTTTCTTTAAAAAATATTCAAATCCCAATGCACAAAATGTATGTACGTACCAGAGCACAGTAGGGTCTAATACCGGCAACTGTGAACGCTCCTGAGTCTGACCTCGTGATGAGCTGGAAGTCGGCTCTTGAGTATTATCCAAATTATAAGCATCCTCCATGTCATCATCGAAATCGTCGGTCTGCATTCTCCGTTTACCTGTGTCTTTACCGTCCGCCATGATCACCTGCAATTGTTGATAATAACATTATAGCATATTATAAGTTACAAGGGACTCGGGCAATGCAATAACATTTCAGCGTAAAAGTAATGATCGATTTATTAAAAGACCAATTCATTTGTCTATTTTAAAATAATAAGCAAATTCAAAGAAGGAGAGTAACAAATTCCCCTATTCATTTTAGTCATCACTACTACTATCACTACTGGAATCATCGCTACTATCATCTAATAATACATCGATATCATCATCCTCGTCACTATCACTAGAGTTGATGCTAGATTCATCATCTTCATCGCTCGAGATAATAAAGCCATCGTCATCTTCCTCATCATCATCATCTTGGATATAGTCTGGAATATCATTCGGTGGGCAAAGTGTTGCATGTAATTGTGGGGATGGTGCCTGCAAGAACTCTAAGTCCACCGAAGCATCAACCACTGATCTTGCTTGTGTTTTAAAAACAGCCCACCATTGTATTCGATCCCGTTTCAGGCTTGGGTATGATGCGTAGTACACTTGAGTCACTTGGTAAGACAAAACAAAGGGATCGTACTTGGGGTATTTCTTAGTATGATTCACTTCGACAAGCTTGTACTGTTCATGTATGTTCATTCCCCTACCACAATCCATCCAACTACACTTAAACAAAATAGTCTTGTACTCTTTTTCGGGACCAGTGTAGACCAGTTCTATAATGTCGTCTAAAATGCCGCAGTACTCTCCACCATCCTCACTTGATACACACACCCCGTAATTCATCGTAGATTTGTCCTTGCCATGGGCATATGTATGGAAATTAAAACCACCGACAAAAATCTGCTTCCAAGTTCGAACACGCTTGAAAGGGCGCATGCACAACGCTCGCAGCACATCCGAGTTTTGTTCCTCCTCAATAACCTATAAACGTTTTAAATATAACCGTCACACTTCCCTAAATGAATAAATTAAATAGCAACGAATAGTTAATCATAAATATCCTACATTTAGACAGTGGACAACACCTTGCGATGAAACCAATCAGGGAATTCAACTTCGCATTTCTCCATTACTTCTTCTCTACACAGATAAGGTCGAGTACTAAGGACATAGTCCTCAAACTTCCTACGAGGCCAAAATTAATGTAACTAAACATTGTAATCATTCCAGATGATCATATCATCCAACTACACTTCATTACTAAACTATGTTATACCTTTCGTATTCACCAAGAATGTCGGTTTTTCGTAACACGAACAGATGAGCACAATCCAGTTCTTTTTCATCCAAAAACCGAGTTTTACCCTTAGTTGACAAACGACTGCTATCCTCCTTGAACAACTCTGGAATTTCAGCGTCGTCCACTGTGGAGTCCACGTCGGCATTCACATTTCGACCGAGATCTCGTGTTTTAGTGTCAACCGTCGCCTGGAAGTAGTTACTGCAGAAGTTTGCTATCTCTTCGGTGAGATAAGCATTGCAAATAGATCCTTCAACTCGAGCCTTGTTTCCAATTTTTCGTTTCAAATGGTTGAGGAACCTGTAATCATATTTATGTAAATATATAAACACGACATTACATTGAATTTGATGTAAAAAATAGGATGTGCATGGATCTTTGATTTACCTTTCGAACGGGTACATCCATCTATATTGCACAGGACCACATAACTTCCCTTCATATGGCAAATGAATGGGTAAATGCTCCATGGAGTTAAAGAATGCAAGGGGAAAAACCTTCTCAAGCTTGCACAGTATCTCAGCTATGTTATTCTCCAATCGCTCCATGTCACTAACCGTTGTTGTATAGCAACACAAATCGCGAAAGAATTGGTTGATCTCTGTTATTGCATTCCAAACATGGCAAGGGAGCAATCCCCGCAGAGCAGTAGGCAACAACCTCTCCATGAACACGTGACAGTCATGGTTTTTCATTCCGTGGAGCTTACATGCTTGCAAATCGACACATCTGCTCAAATTGGAGGTGTAACCATCAAGAAACCGCAGCTGTTTAACCCACTCACACAAAACTTTTCTATGAGCCTTGTCAAGAGCAAATGGAGCCATTGGCATGAACTCTTTTCCCCTATCATCCTGCTGAAGATGAAGCTGCGAACGTTTACAATATTTGGCAATGTCATTTCGAGCGGATGGCGTGTCACACGTCTGCTTTTTCACAGCCATTACAGTGTGAAATAACTGATCAAAGAAGTTCTTTTCAATGTGCATGACATCTAGGTTGTGACGAACAAGAAGATGCTTCCAATATGGAAACTCCCACAGTATGCTTTGCATGAACCACCCCTTCTTTTCTTTTTTGAGGCGTTGAAGTGACTCGGGCCCATCTGTAGCTTTCGGAAGGTCTTTCACACATTTCCACAACTCCTCTCTTGACATAATGTGTGGAGGGGCACCCTTTTCGACTTTGTTTCTGCAGAACGCGGTTCTACTATTTCGAAAAGGGTGATTTGTCGAAAGGAACTGGCGGTGGCAATCAAACCAAGACACCTTACAACCATTTTCTAGCCAAAATGCTTTGCTTTTGTCCATGCAATATGGACAAGCTTTCTTACCAGATGTGGCCCAACCAGACAACATACCGTAAGCCGAGAAGTCACTAATGGTCCATCGGATGGCTGCTCGAAGATTGAAATTTTGTTTCATGGAAATATCGTACGTATGTGCACCAACTTCGCACAACTGTTTCAACTCCTCAATCAACGGTTACATGTACACATCCAAGTTGCCCTTAGGATTTTTAGGACCAGGAACGAGCAACGAAAGGAACATAAATTGTCTTTTCATACACATTGAGGGGGGCGGGTTGTAAGGGGTCAAAATGACAGGCCAACAAGAATATTGTCCCCCAAACTTGCCATGAGGAGCGAAACCATCTGTACACAAACCAAGCCGAACATTACGAGGCTCGGAGGCAAACTCTGGAAAGAAGTTGTCCAGGTGTTTCCAAGCTTCACTATCACTAGGGTGTGCCATAGTGCCTTGCACTCGAGGATTTTTTGAATGCCATGTCATTTCCTCCGAAATAGTCTTGGTTGTAAACAGCCTTTGCAGCCTGGGTGTGATCGAGAAATAAAACAAAACGTTCAAAGGCACTAGGCTACCCTTGGAAGTCTGCTTGTAGCGATCGCTGCCACACGCCCTACATGTAGACAACTGGGCATCATCCTTCCAAAACAACATACATCCTTTAGGACAAGCGTGAATCCTTTCATGAGGCATTTCCAAGCCCTTCACAATCTTTTTCACCTCATAGAATGTGTCGACCATTAGATTGTTGTTAGGAATTGCTTCACTGAGAAGTGAAACAAACCCATCGACACATCTATGCGGAAGATTATACTCGCACTTTAAACTTGTGACTCTAGCCGCCATCTCCAACACAGACAACGAACTACCTTCGTATAATGGCCTTTCAGAAGCCTTCAACAAATCCAGAAAATGCTTAGCTTGGGCATTAGGCTCCTCTTCTAATGAAACACTAGTCTCTTTGGAATGCACATGATCCTGACTTTGACCAAACGCATCGAAAAACATTTCACGATATTCGTTGGACCCTCTTGCAAGAACTGTCGGAAACCCTTCCCCGTGACACATCCACACATAGTAATTAGGTACAAAACCCGCGCGAAACAAATGAAGTTTAACCGTATCTGGGTCCCAAAGCCGTTTGTTATTACATTTAGCACATGGACACCTAACTTCATTCGGGTTACTACTTTCGAGATTATCTTTGACGTATTACATGAATTCATCAACCCCTTTCTCGAACTCTGGATTAACATATGGCCCGACCTTTCTTTCATACATCTAGCTACGTTCTATTCGTTTCATGATTACAACTTCTACACAACTCACGCATATTAGTCACAAAGCGTACTTCCTAACCATTATCCATCAATCATTCATGAAAATGCAAATGAGATATAAAATGCTTCCAAAGGGTCCTTATCACTCCAACCTAACCCATCCTTGTACGTTTAATCCCACTAGTGAATGTAAGCCAGGTTTTCAATTCTACGGAAAATCCATCAGCATTTCTCTACAGTTCTCCAAGTACACGATGTAGGCAATTAAACACACCTACATATGTACCCAGAGAACACTGTAGAGAAATGAAAAGACACGATTTTCTGTAGAATCAACAAGGCTTACATTCACCACCTAAGTGAGAATAAGCGTACAAGGACAGTCCCAACCGGGGACTATCCAAGACATAACCCTATTGTGTATGCCTTGAACGGGTAACTAGGCAAATGATTATGAAAATGATTCATTTATTATATATATATAAAGTGAAGGTCACATGCAATATACTAAATAGAGATTTATTATAATTAAACTAAGCATACACTAACAAACACTACATTAAACTAAATACACTAACAAACACTACATTAAACTAAACTAATGGTGAAATAAACAAAACTAAAATAAAATAAACTAAACTAACATACATTATCATAATGAACTAAACAAAACTATGTTAACATGTTATAATACAACAATTAAAAACTAAACTTAAATAAACTAAACTAAACTAACATATCATAACATAAACACATTCATTTCAAATATTTCAACATATTAAAATATAAATAGAACTGATTGTATACACTACACAAAAAATAATAATAAACTAACATATATCTAAATACGTTTATCGACTAACATGCCAAGTATAAAATAAACATATAATTTTTGGTTTTATATAGTCTCTAACCTGTAGATCTGCACTAATTATTGCCAAAGAACCAAGAAAATCTACAAATCCTACAAAAAAATTCAAATTAAACAATTAGGAACTAAGTTTGTGCTGCCTATGTATATTAAAAAACGAATAAATGCTATAAATTTATAATGAAAAAAACCAAAAAAAAAAAAAATTTAAAACACAACCTGCTGTCGGCTGTGGCTGGGCGTCGCTCTGGTTGCAAACCGGCGGCGGGCTGGTGTCGTCGTTGAGGGGTGGTGGCTGTTATTAGGCATTCCAAAACAAAAAATAAAAAAATAAAAAAATAAACATCACCAAAAACCCCAAAACAGTAAATTTTTTTTTTTAAAAAAAGGGTTAAACACTTACCACGACGGCGCTTTGGGTGAATTCCGGTCAAGCCTCGGTGTTTGTGGTGAAATTCGGCGCTGCTACAGTGATTTCCGGCAAACCCTAGGTGGTGGTGGTGCTGGTTAGGGTTACCGCAATTTTTAATAAAAAAATGAAAATAATTCGCAGACTTACCTACACCGGCAGCGACCAAGGGCGGCTGGTGGTGGAGCCGGAGGCGAGGTCTCCTTCTCCCTTTCTCCTTCTCTCTTTCTCTTTCTCCCTTTCTCTCTCTTCCTCTTTCTCCCTTTCTCTATCTTATTCTTTGGTGCTGTTTTCTGTCGCAAAAAACGCAGGAAACTGAAACCTTTTTTTTTTTTTTTCTAATTTGCTGTACGCTTCCGATGGAATTAATTCCCTCGGAATTAACCTGTTCCGACGGAATATTCCGTCGAAACAGGTTAATTCCGAGGGAAGTAATATCCGTCGGAAGTATACCTACGGATTTTTCCGTCGGAAAGACCCGGTTCCGACGGATTTTTCCTACAAAGCCAAATTCCGCCGGAAAGTTTAAAATTACTGAGGGGATTGCAGTCCGTCGGAATTTAACCTATTTCTAGTAGTGAACAAAGAGCAATCAATTATTATACCAATCAATCCACCAACTCTATATAATCAAATTAATTTCACCGTGTATGAAATTAGTTAACACAAACAGAGAGCCGACATTGGCTTAGCTACCTTGACAGATTAGTTGGGCTATCTTTGATATCAAACTCTTATGAGTATGGTATGTTCGATGGTTTCAAATTTAATGCATGTGTTACTGTTACAAAATTAGTTTTCTTTATTTGAACTATCATAGTCCAAGAAATATTATTAGACGGGCCAAACATAAAACAAGTAATTTTCAGTAAAGGCTAGACCCATTTCAAAGCTAGCATCAACATCAAAACAGGTTCATCCCCTTATGGTAGTGCCACTACCACTTCACTAAAGTTACAATTTATCCATGATGACACATATTTTAAATTTAAACCTATTTCATGTATAGTATAACAGATTTTTACATACATGCTACATCAAAGAGAGTTACTCACCAGGATCCATGGAGTGGGGGTGTTTGAGCTTAGGTACATATTTACAATCAAGGAAACCATCTCAAACAAAACTTCCAAATTCTCAAACAAAACTTCCAAATTATGTGGGTTATACTAGATACTAATCAAAGGGTGAAACAAGAGAAAACTATAGATAATTCAGCTTATATGCTTTACAGAGATCTCCTCCAAAGCTCTCCTTAAGCCCCTAGCCCCCGCCTCAGCTAGAGCAACCTAAGAAATGTTGAAAGGACTATTATCTTCCTTCATAAGTCAATGTTTTAGTAGCATCGTTTTGACATGACTAACTATTTATCAGATACCATATAACATTCATACACTCTGCAACCATACACACAAGCTGATCAACCATCAAATACTGGGTGTGACTCCATATGTACTAGTAGCGGATGTTAAAATATTGGGAGCTAATAAAATTAAGAAAATAAAAAAAATCAATTAATTAACAACATGTTCACCACATTCATCGAGCTCATCACATCATAACCACAACTAATCCGAGCAGCAAAATTATCAGTACAACTAAAACAATCAAAAATCGCATCTTCATCACTACAACCACAATCAAACAATACCATAATTTCAAATCAAAACAACCAAATCTCAACCAAATAAAAAAATTAACCTCTTCAAATCAAACAAGGGGTAGATCTGGACTGATGTTCATCACGAGAAAGAGGGAATTTGGAGACAACTGACGATGAGCCGGTGGGATGCAGTGAAGAAGAGGAGAAATCCAAGCATCGACCACCGTCACCATAATCACAAAAAAATAAAAAAAAATAAAAAAAAAAACAAAAACCCTATCATATCACCATTAAATTCAATCAAAATTTCAATTGTTCATCATTTATCACAAAAAAGTATTTAAAATCAGAAACCCTAGATTTCAAATCGAAGAGCACATACCTTCTTTAAAAGATCAACCACCACTGCAAAGATCCGACGCCGGTGAAGAAATAGACCGTTTACCATCGCTGTCGCGATGGTTAGTGCGAGGGTAAATGAAAGAGATAAAAGGATAGAGAGCTGAGAGGAGAGTGAATGCGAGGTGGAATGGATAAAAGATACAGAGATGGGAGAAGAGTGCGCCGGCGGGGTGGAATGGACGGCGGTACAGTGGAGAGAGGAAATAGAGAGAGAGAGAACGAGAGATCGAGGAAAGAGAAAGAAAGAAAAGGGGAAAGAGAAAGAAAATATAGGGGCGGGTTTTTATTTACATTCGCATCGGTTCGAATCAGTGCGATTAACTCAAGTTCGCATTGGTTCGGTTTGAACCAATACGATTACTCTTTAGTTAACTCCTGCCTTGTTTTTTTCGCACCGATTATTAATAATTGGTGCCCATTTATGTTTTTCTACTAGTGAATCCCTTCCCCAATGATTGATATATGTACATTAGGGTGGTTTTAAGGATCGAAGGAGGTGGTTTATCAGGATGAATGAGGTGGTTTCTCAGGTTAGGGAAGTGAATGAAGGTGTTTTCGAGGGTGTAGGAAGTGAGGGACTGTGTTTTCAAGGGTGGGGAAAGCATTAGAGGTAGTTTTTTAGGGGTGGGGATTTAGGTTGGTTTCACGGTGGAAAGATGGAGAGAGCGAGGGCAGTTTAAGACTTCGGGGAGGGTTAGGAGTGCGAGTAGGGGATCCATTTCTGGTGGTGGCCGGGTAGGGGAGGGGGGCATTTTGGGTTGGGGTTTGGGCCAAGGGGCTGCCGGAGGTGGTGGGGTTTGGCAGAGTGTGCTGCCAGAGTGGTTGGGGATTTTACTTTATTTTAAAAAAAAAATTCTTAATTTATTTATTTTTTACTTTTTTTAATCTATCGACCAATCATGTTTTGCCACGTGTCCTAGGTAACCTATTATTTCAGGTTGATGACCGGTTGGAACCAATGAAAGCAATTACCCCTTAAACTTGGGATTATTAAAAGCAAATGGGTTAAAGTTGAGATTATTAAAACCAATTTTTGCAAAATATTACGGCCCTAATTGGTAATTAGCTGGTAAGTAAGTTAAAGACAAGTTTTGTACTACTCTTTTACTCCACTTTGATTCTCTCTCATGATTTACAGTTAAAGAAGAAAATTAAGTTAGAATCATATATTTTGTTCCTCTTAATTTATACCTTCATTATATCAACTTTTTATAATTTTAAAATGTTAATTATTAGAGACAACAGTTATTGACATTAGAGGTATCAATTTGGAAACTGTGTCGGATTAGGTCCGATTGAGTCATTTTAACGTTAAGCCATGCTAAATTATTGTGTTCATTTATACAAGCTAAGTCAAAATCAAAATAGGTATTATTGTAAAGGAAGGCTATAAATCACAGCAACATAAAAGAGAGTATAAAGAGTGTGGAATATGTAATAACAATCGTAGTTTTGCTACACGGATAGATGTATTTATGTGATATATACAATTGTCATGTATTTATTAGATTCATATCTCTTTACAGATGTTGTATGACTTATTATTAATGAATCAATCTATTTCTTTATATATATATATATATATATAAAGATTCTCACCTTTATTCATTCACTATAGATACATTATTGGAAGAAATGAAAGGAAATTTATTAATCATGCATTCATTAATCATGTATCGACACATAGCACGAGTAACATGCATAAATACCGCTTGAGTTGATATGCCAAGCAAAAATTAAAGAAGTATGACTATTGACCTACTACAATAATTTCATAATTACAACAACTACGCCACTCAATTACCCAACATATATAATTCCAATAACATCAAAGCAAAGCTGAGTCACTTAATTCTTGTTCACATTACCCAAAAAACTAAAGGCCAAAAAATGCTGAGATTGGTAGATATTGGTACATTTTTTAAGCACAAACCAAGCCTTAATTAATTACTTGAATTTGACCAAAAACAACAACTCAAAATATTGCTCAAAAATACTTGTAGTTGGGAACCACAATAAATTTCTAAAAAAATGATGAAAAATACTTACGAGGTTGAACTAAAAAAAAAAAGCTTATTCCAAAACATGTTGCAATAATGTTAGATGGTACTAGGAGGTGGCATAAGGCTCAAGGAAAACCTCTAAATTATGATCCCTTCTTTGAAGCTAACACTCTCTTTGCTGATCTCTGTCTTAAATGGGGTATTGCTACTGCTACCACTTTTATTTACTCTATCAAAAACCTACAAAGAGGCCAAGTAACTGTTCCTTTATCATCTCCTTTGATTATTAATTTTATATATTTTTGCTCATTTTGATTAATCTATCTAGCTTCAGCCACTCTATCTAGCTTCGCCCTTAGTATATTTTGAGATTATGGTGTCGTTTAGCAGTTAGCGTTTAGCAAGCTAGTTCGGTTGCTAAAAAGATTTGGTTGCATTGGCTTATTTGACCATAATTGCATTAATTTTTTTTTTTTTACTAATTACATGTACTACCTCCGGTCGCTATAATTTACAGCTTTTACTATTTTTGGCCGCCGATCATTATGTGCAACTTTTCATTTTCTTTCCCTTTTTAGTAACTTTTCCTATAAAATGACATTCTTACCCTTACTTAAAATTTTAGAAATCAGATTACAAATTTAACTAAATAACAGTTAATCTCAGGGATTAACAATTCTAGTTTATCTCCTCTCACAACTTTATGGATGGATTTATTGCCTCTCTATTATTTTACTTTTATCATTTAAAAAATAAAATAAAATGATTAGATTGTGAGAGGAGATATATTCACAGATTCATCTCAGAGAGAAACTTGAATTTACCCTAAAAAGAAATTAAAAAATAAATAAATAAACCCACCAACCTGCTCTACCCATCCCATTTACTCATGTGGATTGCTAAACATCGCCCGCAAATCTCCACATAAAGCCCACAAAATTAGAGTGAAATGACACTTTTGCCCTCAAAGTAAAAAACACAATTTCTTCTCTCTATTCTCTACTTCCACTTTCTCTCTCTAAAAAACTTTCCGAGCGATGTCGAGGCGGCCCGGCAAGGAAGTGGCGGCACCGGCGGCGGGTGGACAGCGGTTTTCCAGCGAGAAGGTATTTTTTATTAATTTTGTTTTTAAAAAATAAAAAAAAAAAGTTCGGAGGCGGTGGCGGCGCCAAGGCCAGACGCCACCACCACGGCGGAGGCGCCTAGGCCAGACGCCGTGACGGGGCGGCGGCGCCTAGCCCAGACGCCACACCACGCACCAGCGCTGGCGATGCGCCGCCGGGGTAGGGCGTCTGGGCTAGGCGCCGCGCCACCGTCACGCGTCTGGCCGATGCGCCTCGTTATATATTTTTTTTTTTTAATTTTTTTTTGGTTTTAAATTTGAAATTTTATTTTCGAAAATAATTTTTTTTTTTTTTGTTTTTTTTAAATTTGTTTTTCTTTTTTTTTAATTTTAAATTTTATGTTTCTGATTTTTTTTTATTTTGTTTTAAATTTTGTTGCTTTTTTTTTAAAAAATTTTATGTTCCTCTTTTTTTTTTTTTTTAATTTTTAATTTTATGTTCTTGTTTATTGTTTTTGTTTTTTTTTTTGAATTTGTTTTTTTACTTAAAAAAAATTTAATGTTCCCTTTTTTTTTTTATAAATTTTTTTTTAAATTTTGATGTTCTTCTTTTTTTAAGTTTTTATAATTTTATATTTTTTAAGTTTTGTGAGTTTTTTGTTTTGGTTTAAAAGATGTATTAAAAAAACTTTATTAAAAAAAATTTAATTCAAAAAAAAATTAAAACAAAATTAAACAAACGCAAACAAAAATCCATAAAAAAAACATAATTATAAAAAACAAATCAAAAAAAAAACAAAAACAAACAAACAAACAAACAAAAAATTCAAAACAAAAAAAAAAGAAAAAAAAAGAGAAATTAAATTAAAAAAAAAAAAAAAAATTTAAAGCAGCCCCTAGTGGCGCCTGGCCAGGACGCCGGAGCCACGGTGGGGGCGCCTGGCTAGGACGCCGCCGCCATGGTGGCGGCGTCCTGGCCAGGCGCCCCTGCCGTGGCTCCGGCGTCCTGGCCACGCGCCACTCCCATGGGTAAGGCTTCCCCACCAGGCGCCTATGCCACGGTGGCGGCGTCCTGGCTAGGCGCCACAACCACGGCATGGCCTTCTCGGCTAGGCGCCAGCCACCATTTCGTCTTTACGATACGTTACGAACCTCGTTTTCCGGCGACGATGGCGACTCTCCGGTGCATATCGCCGCCGACGACGTCTCTTCGGTGATCCACATTTTTTTAGTGCGAAAAATTTGTTTTCGGTTAAAATTATAAAAAGGGCAAATTTGTCAAAAAATTATAAAATGCGGGCTTTATGTAGTAATTTGTGGGCGATGTTTAACAAATCCCTTACTCATCCCCTCAACTCTCGTTGAATTGAATGTTCAATTGTTCATCAAAGTCTCAACCATTGTTAGCCCTTAGCCTCCATCTTTCTCTTTGTCTTTCCTTCGTTTTCTCCTTCACGACCACCGTACATCAACCACCTCCCATCAGCCTCCATCTTCTTCTATGTCTCTCCTTCTCTCGGAACTTCAAACCCTAACTCTCCTTCTCTCGGAACTTCAAACCCTAACTCTCCTTCTCTCGGTGTTCTTCCTCAATACTAGACCACCTTCTTTCGGTCTTCTTCCTCAAACCGCCGTCGCTACCTTCTCTCGGTCTTCTTCACTCGTTTTTTTTTTCAATTTTCTACTTTTTTCATTTTTTTGGGTGATTTATGTTCGAATTTTCTTGGTTTTGTTCGATTCTGAGTTTCTGGATTTTAAATTGTAGATCTGGGTTTTCTGGATTTTGAATTTGGCCGGATTTTGAAGAGTATGTAGTTGATTTGTATGGAAATTGGCCGGATATTTTGGTTAGGTGATTCTGGGTTTTGAATTCATTATTTGTGTTCTTCATTTTTTGGGTTTTCTGATTTTCTGATTTTTGGAGTATATTTTTTATTTTTGTTTCGTGATTTTTGGATATTTTTTGTTCTTCATTCTCTAATTTATTTTTTGTTTTCAGATTTTATGATTTTTGGATTTTTGGAGTTCATTTTTTTATTTTTGCTTCGTGATTTTTGGATATTTTTTTATTCTTCATTCTCTAATTTATTTTTTTGTTTTCAGATTTTTTGATTTTTGGAGTTTGATTTTTAGAATTTGTGTTCTTCATTTTTTTTTAGATTTTCTGATTTTTAATTTCCACACTATAAAATTAAATACTCTCTCTCCTCCTAATCACATGTATAAACTACCCCTCAATTTTATTATAAAATTTTTGTTCGTGTTTCGTGAACTCCTCCAAAGTTGCAAATAATAGCGACCGTATCATTTGTTTGTACAAATGTGTTCAATGTTCTTGTAATTTTGACTTTTAGTGTTTTATTACTCAATCTCATTTAGAGCTAATTTTTGTACATTTAATTTATTTTTTTAATTATAATTTGGAATAAGATCAAAATAATTCATTTTTGTTTTCTTTTGTTTTTTTACTCCATAATAAATTTAACTACTAGATTGATTTATCATTGTTGTTTTATAATAATAAAAGCATTTTATATGCATGTAACGCATGCTGTTTTTTTAAAATACATGCAAACCAACATTATTAGATTACTATTTAATGTTATGGTAGAATTCTAACTCGACCTTTTTTTAAGTACTCTAAGGTCCGTAATTAAGGACTTTTTTTTTTCTTCTTTAATCTTCTATCACAAATGACTGATTGTAATAAAGATTTTTTGTTAGAAACTACCTTTTAAAAACAATTTTTTGTGAAAAATTACCTAATAAAAAAATTATAAGAAACTACCTATTAAAATAAAAATATGTAAGAAACTACCGATCAAAATTCAACACAAATATGTTGTAAAAAACTATTATTCGTTGGATTTTCGTCTTTGATTAATTTTCTGGCGTTGACCACCCCGGCCATTCACATGATAGGTGGTAATGTGGTATTGTTGGTGGGGCATGGAAAAATAAGGTTTTAAAAGCTCACGTGATTGGCAAGTGGCACTTCAAAATTAAGTCAATATAGCAACAACTAAAATGTGTTGCTATTTACCAAAAAATCAGGTGAACTGCTATTCATCATTCGCAAATTACAGGGTGACGCTCCCATTTTTAGGTGAAATGACTTTTTTGCCCTTGTGTGTATTTTTTCTATATAAGGGTCCACCATGAGTCAATTTAGATACCGACAACTTAAATATTATTCTCGAGCCCCACACTTATCTTAAAAAAATCCCGAGCCCCAAAAAATCCCGACCCCACCATTGTACGGTAATCCCGAGCAATTTAAAAATCCCGAGGCACAAACTGAAAGTGTATCGAGTGGTGTTTGACGATGAACGACGACAACGTTCATACGCTGGAGGATTCGTCGGAAGAATCTGTGAGTTTTACGATTATTTTTTTTTTTTTTGAAATGGGACTTCCGCCCAAAATTTCCGCCTGAAATTTCCGGATCTTAAGTGGGTGATCCGGAAATTCTAGGCTGATCCCCACTTAGACTTCCGGAAATTTTGGGCGGAAGTCCGTAATATTTTTTAATTTTTTTTTAATTTTTTTTTTACGTAATTGCTTTTTTATTATTTTTATTATGAATAATAGTTATATTAGTTATTATTAGTTTATATTATGTATTATTTGTTAATGTTATGTACTTATTATTAGTATGGTTATTATTATTATTAATTTTGTTAATATTACTAAATTTTTTGTTATGATTATTATTATTATTAATAATAATAATAATAATAATACTATTATTACTATTGTTGTTATTATTATTAATATTATTATTGTTGTTACTATGATTATTGTCGTTGTTGGATAGAGGTGTCCACCGTGCGAGTCGTGTGAGCTGGGTTAGGGTTAGGTGGGTCGCGGGTTGGGGTTTCACGACACACGGCACGACACACGTAAGGTAGGGTGGGCCGGGTCATGGGTTGGGTCGGAGAAGTTGGACACACCAGGGTTAGGTACGTGGGTTAGACGAGTCGTGGGTGGGTCGAGCTGGGTTCGTGGGTTAGACGGGTCGTGGTGGGTCGAGCTGGGTTCGTGGGTTAGACGGGTCAAGGTGGGTTAGTGGGTTAGGGTGGGTCAAAGGGTGGGTTAGTAGGTCAGGTGGGTTAGGGTCGGGTGGGTTCGTGGGTTAGGGTCGGGTGGGTTGTGTGGTGTTTTAATTTTTACAAAATTAACAATTTGATGACTTGCTAAGTTGCTCTTAATTAAGATGTTTACGTATCCTTATATTATAAAATAAGGAATCAAAGCCAACGTAGTTCTTATATTGTACTTCTTTTGGAATTTTGGGGGAGGGGGGGCTTGGACCTATCTTTAGAAAATTAAAATTTAATTTTGCAATTAAATTGTAATTTTCGAAAAATAAGTTGCCTACGTGACCCGAAAGAATCAAAGCCAACGTAGTTCTTATATTGTACTTCTTTTGGAATTTGGGGGGAGGGGGGGCTTGGACCTATCTTTAGAAAACTAAAATTTAATTTTGCAATTAAATTGTAATTTTCGAAAAATAAGTTGCCTACGTATCCCGAAAGAATCAAAGCCCACGTAGTTCTTATATTGTACTTCTTTTGGTATTTGGGGGGAGGAGGGGCTTGGACCTATCTTTAGAAAACTAAAATTTAATTTTGCAATTAAATTGTAATTTTTGAAAAATAAGTTGCCTACTTATCTCGAAAGAATCAAAGCCCACGTAGTTCTTAGCATACCTGATTTAGACTTTTCTAGCCACCCATGTTTGTTGCATCATCATCCCCGGAAGCTACATCATATGTTGACAACTCCAATATCATCACAGGATCATCTTCATCGTCTTCGTCTTCCTTTAAACCTTGAGTTATTCTTTCAGCTTGATCTCAATCTTTCTTAAAAACACAAATTTGAATTCTTTCCGGAGTTAAGCGAGACCTTTTTTCATCAAACACTCTTCTACCTGCACTAAAAGCAGACTCGGAAGCAACGGATGAAGCGGGAACTGCAAGTACATCTTTTGCAATTCTCGCCAATATAGGAAAACTTTTTTTATGTTCTTGCCACCATTTTATAATTTGAAAGTTGTTGTTGGTCTCATGTTGATATGACAAATAATCATTAATAGTAAGTGTTGAAGAAGATGATGATGAGAATGATGTAGATGCTTTGCGTTTTTTTTTTTTCATAACTTTATCAAGAAAACCAAATCTAGAATCGGAAGTGCTAGTAGTAGTTGGTGTTGCCAAATCAAAATCATATATAGATGCATAATGATCATAAAGGTCTCTTAAAACAGATTTGCATTTGTTAATATATTCACTAACATCATAATCAATGCTTAAACTTGTATAATAACATTCTAAAAGATTTTCCAAACCTTCAGCTTTTACACCGGGGTCAAGAATAGCAGCAATTCCATAAATGATTGGAAATTCACTAAAATAAGTATGCCACTTACGTTTCATGCTATCAAGAACGGGACGAAGTCCATCAATCATCATATGCTATTCGATGGTGTGAACAACTTTAACACACTCAATTATGACTAAGTGAATGTTAGGCTCATACATATAAGAGAAAGTATGAGTTGCATTATCAAAAGCATTTTAAAACATCACGAACAAAAGAAGCATTAGTCCAATGACTTTCGGTTATTAACTCAGTAGGATCAACACAAGTCTCATTGTAAAGTTGGGTTAAAATGTCACGATACTTTATTTATAGCATCACTCAACAACTTGAAAGTAGAATTCCAATGGGTAGGGGTATCAATAGACCATTGTCTTTTCTTAAGACCTCTCTCTTTACACATAGTTATGTACTTTCTTCTAACTGACTGAGTAATCCTAATCCATTTTACAACTGTTCTAATTGGGTTTAGCAATGGTGCAACTCATCGAGACCCTCTTGAACATACAAATTCAAAATATGAGCACAACATCTAACATGTAAGAGACTACCACCCAACAACAAATGCAATTCGGAGTCATTTTTCAAATAGTCAATACACTTTGTGTTTGCAGTTGCATTATCAAGAGACAAAGAAAAAACTTTATTATTCAAGTGAAATTCTTTTAAACAATCCAAAATACGAACTTTGATGTTAAAACCGGTATGCCTTTCTTCCATAGCTTTAAAACATAGTATACGTTTTTGAATAAACCAATCATCATCCACCCAATAAGCAGTAATGCAAAGAAAAGGTTTGCCAAAACTAGAAGTCCATGTATCACTTGTAAAACTAACACGACCATCAAAAGTACGAAATAATTCAATCAAACCACTCCTATACTTATAATAAGAAGTTTGTGTATAACGTCTTAGGGTATTTCGGGGGACACGAGTAAATGCAGGTTGTAATGCAACTTTATTAAAATGCTTAACATTTGCATTTTCACCGTAACTAAAAGGGTATTCATTAACAATAACTAAAGTACTCATTTTATCAATCATTCTATCTTTATTATAAATGAAAGGTGTACCTCCGCCGGGTTGGTTCATGTATCCACCCAATTGTATTTGGACGCCACCTACCAAAGGACAGGGGCCATTTTCGAACAAGTCGTGTTTATTTTGCAAATGCCGACTCAAGGTTCCGGTTCCATCTCCCGTTTTCCAATTATATGACTTGACATTTGTACCTAGCGCCTTGCAAACTAGGCATGTACACGTGAACCTCTTTGGTTGACCGGGTTGCCATCCCGGGGGTGTGACCTCAACTCGTTCAAAATGTTTCCACACCCAAGAATATTGTGCTCGAACTCTACTTTCACCGCCACCACCTTTCATAAATCAAATTATTGAAATTAATTTTAAATGCTATTCATGAAAATAAGCTTTTAAATTTTAAATATTTAATTATAATTATTTAAACGCAATTTTCATGGTAATTAATTAATTATAAATCATAGAAAATTGGAAACTAAACTAACTTTATAATCATTAATAATAGTTTTTTTTAAATATTCGTAACAATAAAAATTTAATTAGAAATTACCTTGAGATGAATGTTGAGATGTTGGTTGTGATGTTGGTTGCGATGGAGGTGGCATAGTTGAACTCGATGATTGGTGGGAGAAATGTTGTGGCGGAGGCGTTTGAATATTTTGCCTATCTCCTAAACCATAATCTCCATATTCATTGACAAATTGGTTTAAATTTTCCGTATTAATTTCATACGAAAAATTTGCACCACCACTCCTTTGGCCACCACTTTGACTCCTTCCCATTCCTCCTCTTGAGCCCATTTTTTTTTTTATTTTTTTTATAATTACTAATTATTATATGGAGAAGAACTTTTTTTTTTTGTTTTAGAATCTTTAGAATACTAATAATAATATTAAGGAGATTTTTTTTAACAAAAATAAAACTCTATATAACACTTGAGAATTTGAGAACAATTAAGAATTTTTGAATAAGAGAGAAAGAAAGATTGAGTTGTGTGGAAATTTGAGTGAAATGGAATTGGTATTTATAGGGAAAATTGAAGGGATGACCATACACTAAAAAAACTAGCCGTTACATACAAAAAACTAGCTGTTACATACAATTACATACAAAAAACTAGCCGTTTTTTTAAAAAATGGATGTTAGGCCGTGCGGGTTGTGCGGGCTGTGTGGGTTGTGCTGGCCGTGCGGGTTGTACGGGCCGTGCGGGTTGGGCAGTTGGGTCGTGCGGGTTGGGTGGGCCATGCGGGTTGGTGGGCCGTGTGGGCTGGGTTGTGTGGGGTGGGTCGGGTTAGGTGGGTTCACGGGCTAGGTGTGTCGAATTAAATGGGTCAAAACGGGTTGTGCGAGTTGGGTCGAATCAAACGGGTTAAACCGAGCTGGGTTGAAATGGGTTGTGTCGAAAATTTTGGACCCACGTCACAACCCGGGTTAAATCCGAGCTGTGCTGGGCTGTGCCAGGTTGAAACCGGGTCGGACCCATGTGACCCACCAGCCGTGCGGGTTAGGGTGGGCTGGGTCCAACCCGGCCCACTGGCCACCTCTATTGTTGGATGTTTATTATTTTTATTGTTTTGGTGCGCATAAATTGGGTTGCGTAAATTTTGTTGTTTGTAATTGTTTTTATTATTTTATTATTGTTATTGTTACTTGTTTTTGTTAGTATTACTTTATGTGAATGTTAGTTTATATTAGTTATTATTTGTTAATGTTATGTACTTATTGTTGTTGTTATTATTATTATTATTATTATTAAATTTATTATTATTATTATTATTATTATTATTATTAAATTTAAAATACTAATTCTTGCGTGTTTTATTTGTTTGTGTTGTAATTTTATAAGATTCGGAGGTTGAAGACGGCGGTGATGTTGTGAATTACAATGCACATTTTGTGACAGACACGGTTTTTCTAACGTTTGAGGATGCAGTTATATGGGCAGATGCTGTTGCCATAAATCTGGGATTTATTTTGGTGAAATCTTCTTTCAACAAACACAGAAATGGTCGACCATATCGATATTTAAGATGTGATCGGGGACGCAGGAGTAAGCCGAGAGATCTTGAGAACGCAATTCGGAAGGACACCAAAACCAAGGCCATTGGTTGTCCTTTCTACATCAAGATATGTTACGAGTTCATCACCAATACTTGGATTATTCGGGCGAAAAATGATGCAAATGGGACCCACAACCATCCAATGATTGCGTATCCAGAGGGTTATCGTAAAATTAGTGGGTTGAGCCCGAATGCGAAGCAGGTTGTGCGTGACATGACGAAGTCTAAGGTTGCACCACGTAACATCATGGTGACTATTGCAGAGCAATTTCCTGATGATCATCCAAACATCAGACACATCTACAACTGCCGGAATGACTTGAGAGCGGAGATGTTTGATGGGAGAGGAGTTGTTCAGCAATTTCTACATTTGGCGAGACAGAGTCAGTATCTTTACTGGGTTATGTCTGATGATGTAGGCGTTTTACAGCACGCCTTTATGGCGCACCCAGTCATGGTAGACATCCTACGGACGTACCCATATGTGATCGGTATGGATTCCACTTACAAGACTAACCGATACGGGATGCCGTTTCTTTGAGATAGTTAGTGTGACATCGACAAATCAGAATTTTCTCGTCGGTTACGTGTTCATGCGCAACGAGTGCACGACAAACTATCGATGGGTATTGCTGAGGTTGAGAGACTTGATTGGGTATGATAAGAAGCCGTCGGTTTTCTTGATAGACCGTGAGCTTGGGTTATGTGTTGCATTGAGGGAAGTGTTTCCAGGGACCTCGCACTTACTTTGTCGATGGCACATTAACAAAGATGTGGAGGCTCGGGTCACTGTTATGTTCAAAAACAAGAAGATCGGTGCGGCTTTAAAAAACGGAAAATGGAAACGTATCATGGACGCTGCAACCGAGGAGGATTATGATGCCGCTGTAGATATAATGAAAGATAGGTGGGCAAGTTATCCAACAGTGATACAATATGCAGAGAACCCATGGCTTTGTCAGAAAACGAAGTTTGTGACATTTTGGACAAACCAAGTTCTACGTTATGGCAACACCAGCACTTGTAGAGTTGAGAGCCAACACTCGGCCGTGAAGATGTGGTTTGATTCTTCGACAGGTTTGTTGTTTGCTTATTGTAGTTCATGTATGTACTTTGTTGTAGGTATTTGAGTTATAAATCATAACGGTTTTTCTGTGTAAAGTGCAGGTTCTTTGGATACCGTATGGGCCCAAGTTCATTGCCACATTGGTAATCAGATCATCGCAATTCGTAATGGTTTGGAGGCTTCCCGGTCGAAGATAGGTCAAAAGTACCGACATTTTCCACTGTCACATACAAACGGCAAGGTGTCTCAGCATTGTTTGAAGGTTCTCATGAGGAGACAAGGAGGATGAGGGAGCTGAGTTATCAAGTGCATGAACGATGTGGATGTGCAATGCGTGTGACCCACGGTTTGCCCTGTGCTTGCCAGATACATGATTCGCTAGTTGCAGGGACAAGATTGTAAATCAGGAAAATTCACCCGTTCTGGAAGACCTTGGTTATTGGTGATGGTGATGATATACCGGTGACTGGCAATGACTCGACCGAGGACGCCACACATTTTCGTTCTCTGGTGGATGAGGTAATCATTAGTTATCCTGCGGTTCTTTGAAATGTGTCTCGCATCATTGAAGAGGAGCTGCATGCGGATCATTCTGACCTCAGAAAACCTGCTGTAAACCACCGGGTTCGTGGTCGATGAAGGAACAATGATACAAGACGTGATCGTTCTTATTTAGAACATGTGAACCGCCAATACACTGAACGTGTTGCACGGCAAACAGGTACGATTAACTATTGTGTTTTTCGCATAAGTTAGCATCTACTAAACTAATAACTGAACCATACATTTGTGCAGGAGATGTAATTGACATCAGCCAAAGCCATTATCGACACTCGCTTCCAGGATCGATGTTGACTTACATCACAAGATGGAAGGATGTCATTGGCGATGGTAACTGTGGGTTTCGTTGTGTGGCCGAGTTCTTCTTCGGTGATCAAGGGCGATGGTATGACGCTCGAGAAACAATAGCGAATGAGGTCCTCGGTTATCGAGCCCTATATGAGAGGATTTACGTGCTTGGAAGACTTGAGATCAATGTGGAGCGTATTCGATGGGACGGTGGGGCAGTTGATTCCCGTCATTGGATGGCTGCAATTCAAGATTTATTTCCTATTGCGACTTGGTTCAACGCTATGGTTATTATTCTTGGTGTAGGCCAAACACCAACCTGCTACTACCTATGCCTCACGATCTTGCCGTTGCGGGCAAGAAGGGGGGTCACGGCACCTGAGCGAGAGTTTGTCATCACTATAGTTGAGGGCTCACATTTTATTTGTATTGAACTTACACCAGATTCGCCACTTCCCCCGATTGTAGGTAGGTGGATCGAGAACCACGACCCAAGTGTTGACGGTTGGGATCAGCGTTATGCAGCTAGAAGGAACATATGGGATGCGTTAATTAGATAATGAACATATTTTTGTACTTTCATTTATGTTGAAAAGTTGTAGTTATGTAATTTGTAAATAAATTAACTTAATTAAAAAAAGTTTCAACAAAACCACAAAAACAGTTGTCCAATTCTTAAAGTACATGACGAATAAATAGTATATAAACGAAATGCGTACAAGTCAAATAAAACTTAAAAAAAGCAAGTTCACAACCCCATCATCGCCCTCCAATCAGCTTGTAGCGCCTTAGCCATTGCTCTTGTATCACGCGATAAGCTCGGATACTCCTCCAGTGTCCTGTTGATAACCTCCATGGATTGACCCATCCACTGCAATTAAAAAAACAACATATTAAATAAATCACAAGTTTTTGTAGTCACTAATCTAAATACCAAAAACACAAGTACTTACGTAATCCGTGTTAGTTCTCTCTGGCAGTGCGCGACTCTCATGTGATGACGCAACTAGAGAAACACGAGGATGAGAAAGTTGGTACAACCACTGCATGTAACCAGGACTGACCGTAGGAGCACCACCACCAAGTCTGCTGAGGGGACCTAACACGACACTGAAAGACGCACCAGGTACAAACCGAGCCCACATCACAGATGTCATCTCTGGCGGAAAGTCTACTCGATACATCTTCAAGTTCGTCGGTCTCTTTCCCTTCTCAGGCCTGATGATGGCTTGTGGAATGCCCTGCACGTATCCAAGTTGTCGAACCACTCGATCAGGCATATATGGCTCAATGATGTTACGATACTGGATGCAGCCAATGAATAGAGTAGCAGGCACGCGTCGTACTGGATCAACTCCGTACGGTAGCCAGTTCACCTCAGTGTCAGTCAGATGATCCAACCTAGCACGAAAAGCGAGGAGGCGCTCCATGTTCTTGTTGGGGCACCCCGATCCGACATCCTAGGCGGACGCACGAGGAATAGTAAGCTTTCTGGTCAAGGTCCCCTGCTGAGGTCGAAAACACGGAAAGTACTCGTAGATCCACGCCTGCGGAAGCGTAAGACAACCAGCGATAAAATCAGGACCTTTTTGTGATGCTGTACCCAACTGCCGATGCATATATGCTAGCACAACAGAACCCCAGGAGTACTCACTAATCTGAACATCCTCAACAAAAAGCTCTTTGAGGAAGGAAGGATGAGTACGGTTTCCACTCTTGTCCAAAAACAAACATCCGCCAAGTAATAACCACAAGTACGCCCTGTAATGGACACTGAAGGGCCTCTGCGCCTCCAAGGTCGACTCCATTATCCTCTCAGTCAGCACCCCACTACCTTGCCATACGGTTTTAGTACCGCACTTCTCATTCAGCTCTTTGAGGAAGGAAGGATGAGTACGGTTTCCACTCTTGTCCAAAAACAAACATCCGCCAAGTAATAACCACAAGTACGCCTTGTAATGGATACTGAAGGGCCTCTGCGCCTCCAAGGTCGAATCCATTATCCTCTCAGTCAGCACCCCACTACCTTGCCATACGGTTTTAGTACCGCACTTCTCATTCAGCTCTTCCGCAATCATATCCATGGTAATCGAGCACGCGTCCCGTAAAACGTCCGTGCTAAGAGTAGTGGAAACCATGGAACCATCAACACGAAGCCCCAGAATATGATACACATCATGCAGCATGATCGTGATCTCCCCAAATGGCATGTGAAACGTGTTCGTGTCTGGCTGCCATCTGTCAACAAAAGCAGAGATCAAGGGCCACTCAAATTGCCTGAACATCATCCCGGGTAAGTGAGATAGACCATTGCCATCAATCAGTTCCAAGTGTTACTGGGCAAGACGACCTCGCCAGTTACCCAATTCAGAACACAATTGTGTCCTGCTCAAACACCGCAGAACATTTCGCTCCTGTCCACCCTATATGTAAGCAGCCACGTGACCCCCAAAACTAGGAATAACAGTACCAATCTCAGGCCCACCTGGCATCGGCTCCTGTACCACCCATGACTCTGATGAGCTGGTAGAAGCTTGAACTTGTTCACTACTACTAACATATCTCCCATGGTCAGCCCTATACACAGTACGGTAATCCTGAGGGTCGTACTTTGCATCTCCATCAGCTTGACTTCCTCACTCTTCATCCTCATCGTCAGATGAAGGCACTCTAGTAGATGAATACATGGGGCGCTCCCATGTGACTGATGCTCCCCCAACCAAGTACCAGCAGTCCCATACTGCTGTTCATGGTGAAACGGTGCCTGCGAAGGTCCCGCACCACCTAACTCCCTCCTAACAGACGCATTCAAACGTATTGATCTTGCATGACGAGGACCCGAACCCTCAATCTGTATTTAATAAATGAGTACAGAATCATATTTCAATAATAATTACACAAACAAATATGATATCAAAGTTGAACAACTAATATTCAGATTCAAAAATATCAATTCAAAACTATAATAAATCAAATCAAATAAACAATAATAACAACATTATTAAAAATAACAATAATATTATTCTTATAATACTAATATACTGCTAACAATAACAACACACTAATAACACAGTAATAGACCAAATCAAAACTATAATTAACCACAAAATTGCCAAAATTGAAACGCAACAACAACGAAAATACCACAAACCAAAAAAAAAATACAATAACAATAACAATAACAATAACAACAAATTAAGTCACCAACCATAATACATAACAACAATAACAAATACCAATACAAACAAAATAAAATTTACATATCAATAAACACAATACATAACAATAACAAACATATTATTGCAAATATAAAGATGAAAATCATGAAGTACAAACAAAAATCATAAAATACAACAAAAACAATGCCACAATTAAAATGAAAATAACAATTACAAAATTAAATCAATAATAAAATTATTATAATGCCACAAATCAAGGAAAGAAATATTTTAATAAAAAAAGTTATATATAAATTTTTTTTTTCCAAAATTCAACAAAATCGAAGGAAAACAGAAAAAAAAAACAAAAAAAAAAGGAAAACCAGAACTTCCGCCTAGAATTTCCGGAAGTGGCTGAAAACTTCCAGAAATTTCGGGCGGAAACCACCACTTTCGCCTGAAATTTCCGGAAGTTCTCCGCCACTTCCGAAAATTCTAGGTGGAAGCCACCCTTTCTAGTTTTTTTTTTTTTATTTTTTTTAATTCAAAAACTAAAAAAAAAAACTCACCTGTTCGCCGCCGCTAACGCCGCCACCACGACCACCAAACGTCAGCCTAATTCTTTGTTGGTCTGCCATTGTTGGATTCAACGTTTGATTGGTGGATTCGATTGTGTTTGAGTAACCTTCAACGGGTTTGGTTTTTTTTAAAAAAAAAATTCTGATTTTTTTTTTCAAAATTTCAGATTTTTTTAGAGTTTTAGAGAGAGAAAGTGTGAAAGAGTGATTTTGTAAGATGTGAAATGTCTCGTAAGTGTCCTAACTTACTTTAACGAGTATTTATATACGGAAGGAAAATTAGGAAATTCAAGTACAAAATGCGAACGTCACCTAGTAAATTGCGAACGACGTTTAACAACACCCAAAATTAGTTACCAACTCTAGTTAGGAACAAAAATTTAATGTTGGTTCCTAAATATAGCAACAAATCATTAATATTGGTTAGCTATTCGGTCCCTTTACCAATCCTAAAACCTCACTCGAGTCAACTTGGCTCGACATGTAAGGCTCTTTGAATCCCCAATCTTAAGAATCGCAATTGGTAGGAGTTGAACTTGTGACCTTTATGTCACATGGTGAAACTCTTACCAACTATACCAAGTATTATTTGTTTACTTCTATGCACATAATTGATAATAAGTGAAAGAAATGGGAAAAATTGGTTTTAATAATCCCGACTTTAGACGATTTACTTTTAATAATCCCAACTTTGAATTATTATTGAACTAGGTTAGGTCCCGTGCAATGCAAGCTACGTTATTTTAATTACTTTTGACAAATTAATTTATTTATAGCATAAAATATAAAAATTGTTTAATATCTTGAACGAAATTGAAGTAACATGGAATATTTGATCAAGATCATATTCTAAAAAATATTCCACCAAAAATACATCTTTTTGAAAAAGATTATATATTTTCTTATTATTCCGCAATTAATTGAGTATCAATATAAAAATGGTAAATATTATTGCTCATATATATAGTTGATAAAAACAAACTTTTTTGTAATAAAATAACTTCCTTAAATAAAATTTAGTAATTTAATTATTAAAAAAAATATACTAAGATCACACCAGAAATCGACATGTGTCATTGCTGGTGTGTCTTTTAGTATGTAGTTATTGATAATCCGAACTTTAGGGGTAGTTGCTATTACTAGGCCTTGGTGACCAGTAACCTGTTACATAAGTATTTTTTTTTTTTTAACCTTGACTTCAGTCAACAACTACCATCACCTCCATGGCAGCCACCACCTCCCCTTCTCCTCTCCCCTTCCTTTCCCGACCACCGGATAGCCATCTCGATCTCCTCCACGTCCACCAAAAAACCCTTTATCTCCTCCTCCACTAGAACTCATATCTCACCTCCTCCCATCATAATAACAATGAATTAAATTATTTATATAATCATCGTTGTCAACAACTTTGTGAATCAATTAAAACTTTATAAGCAAGCATCATCAAATTTCTCCCTTTGATGATAAAATTAGATGGGGTTATGATTGAATTAAAATCCATACTTTCAAGTCGCTATGTTTTTTCATGATTTTTTTTAATTTTTATATTTTTTATTTGACTTGTTTGAACATAATTAGAGCAAAGTTGAGAGTTGGGTGCAATTTTAGCATAATGGAGAACCATCTCTATGTATTGGGATTCAGGGAAGATATATCAAAGAAATTCCCATTAGAAAGATGGTAGTGGTGTTCCCGAAAGTGGTACGATGTAGTTGACGATGGTGGAATTGAAGGTGGTTCAAGTATGAGGGGTGTTTTCGGGATAGACAATGTGCTCATCCGTGTTATCCGCGGCCTAAGTTTCCACCTACTCTCAATTTATGTTGGGTCAGCATGAAAGGCCAATCGGCAAGCCATGTCAAAAGCAAGATCATACCCAACTTGGTAATCCTCTTCAATGAGGGTTCGGACCTTGAGCAGATCCCTGGTTTCTTCCAGTTTGGACCTCGCTTTGAGGGTCTCCTCTTCAGCAACATCTTTGAGGGACCTTTCCAGTTTAGACTTCTACCGAAAGTCCTCGGTTTGCATCATCAGGTTCCCACGAAGCCGCTGGACCTTTGCCTCCAGTGCAGGAATAGTCTCATCCTTGTACTTCTTCCGACGAGTAGCTCCTTCCTTGATGATGGGGAGTAACTTGTTCTTCGGGGCGTCATGGGCCTTCTTAGCATTCGCCTCGTGATCCTTCATATTAGCTTCAAGGGCCTTAACCTTGGCATTAGCCACCCTCAGCTCAGCTTCGGTCAACTCATGCTTATCCCTCAGCTCTTCATTCATCTTAACGGCCGATGCATGGTTTTGAATAGCCTGCAGGAGTCAAAGGTAGAGAAGCCGAATGATGTGAGTTAAAAAAAAAAAAAAAAAAGAGAAGAGAAGAAAGAAAAAATTCTCAAGGAACACGCTTAAATACAAATGAGAAAGAGGTTTACCAGCATTAGATGCCTTTAAGCCTCGAGCATCGGGTCAGCTTCCCACGCAAAAATCCCACCCAGACCAGCAACAGCCTGAATAGACCAAGACCTCGCCCGCTCCGGCTCGATCTTGCTCATCAGATCGCCGAACTAAGAGACCACAACATTTTAGAAGACCGGAAGATCTCAAACGATCGAATCGGGGGAGACAAAGACAGCTCCTCAAGCGCCTTAATTCTTGGCCTCAGCATCTCTCTGCGAGGCTTCTTCATCAATCAAAGCCCTCGGTTTTTTCACCCAGCACCTTCAGCTCATCATCATCCATTCACTATCTTTTGCTGTTATGCTACTCTTTTCTTCAGTTCCTTCAACTCTTGCTTCAACACGGTCTCACTTCCATGCATTTCTATCCCTCCCTTGCTTTGATTTTCATAACCCCATGAGACATTTTGATCAGCATTGCCCTTGCACCATCTAAATGTATCACATACATCACACTTGTAGTACAACCTTTGTGGATTTTTTGCCGAATCAGAGCTTCTTATTGCAAACTTCCTACCACAACAACATGCTTTGTTTGGCACCCTTACATACGAAGACCCGAAAGAAGACGACGACGATGATGATGATCTCGAGTTTGTGGACATCTTTGCAAATGCTCTTAGAGGTGTGCCTTGGTGCGTGACTCCCTCAAGAACTACATATATTTACACAAACTAGCCGTTATAACTGTTCAACGGCTATATTTTAAAAAAAATGGTATTTCATGCAAAAAAAAACAAAAAATCATGGTATATGGTGAATTAGTCATTTACCCCAAACGGCAGACTAACGGCAGTTACCATTAATGGCATTTTGTGTTAACGTTCAGTAACTCAATGGTATATGGTGAATTAAAAAATTTTGTGTGGTATATGGTGAATTTTGAAAAAACTCACTGGTATTTCATGAAGAATCCGTTTTTTTTTTTTTTTTTTTTTTTTATTCCGAACCCACTATTCAGAAATCTTGGATACACCATTGAGTATAATTAATCATGTGGGATATAACATATTTTTCAATTCCTTGCACATTTTTCTTTTCTGTTTTGGAACAAAGTACATTTTTCATTTAAAATCCTACACAATTTTAATATTATGTCACATATACCATAATGGTAAAACACACACACACACAAAAAAAATAAAAAAAAATAAAAAAAATGAAAGACTCTACAAGATAACTCAATTTAAAAACATGTTTAAGAACTTGGAAAATAAGCTAAATTATATATATGGTTTATGCTTAAGTTAATCATAGCTTTTTATAAATCCATACATATATAGAAGTTGACACTATATATGCTGAAGTTAATTCACACTAATTAAATTAAATACATTACGATTCCGTTTGTTTTGGTGAAAAATCATTCTAGAAGAAAACATATACATGAAAATTGATTATTTTATTTATTTTTCTTCATTTCTCCATTTTCCCTTTTGGTTTCCTATGAAATTGCAGGAGGGAAATAAAGTGTTGATGATTGGAGAAAGATGGCTAATCCCTAAATGTTTGCAAGACGTTATAAAACAAGTGGAAAATGCAACAAGTACAAAGCACACAAAAAAGTTGGAGTTAATGCTAGCATATGTTATTCTGGGACTGGAGATATATTGCAAGCTACTAGGAACATTTGTGAAAAGGTCAAGGCCGGGGTGTTTGAACCCAAAAACATCGACGAGGCCATGTTTGATAAACAGCTATGGACTCGTGGAGCGCCTCACCCTGACCTGCTTATTCGGACTGGTGGTCGCCTCCAGGTTAGTGATTATTTGATGTGGCAACTAGCCCAAACCGAGCTATATTTCTCCCAAGTTTCTGCACCAGAATTTGGAGAAGTAGAGTTTCTCCAAGCCTTGCACTCCTTTCAGCAAAGGGAAAGAACACTGGGAAACTGATCTAATATGTTCAAATTTAAACTTTAAAACTGTTATTTCTTTATTCTCCCGAAGGCCTAGATCATTTCTTTATTCTCGTTGTAGTCCCTGTTGATAAGAAAACCATTGTAAAACTTTTAGTTGGTTAGTGGTTTATCTACATATAAATCCACCTTTGATTTAATGTAAAACATTTTACGTGGTAGGAAAACCAAAGAGAAATAGTACACTCGGGTGCACCATGTTGCATGGTGCACCCGAAAGACGGAAAGAACATACGGTTCTTTAATAAAGAACATACTGTGTTTGACAAAGAACATATTTATGTTTGACAAAGAACATACCCATATATGTTTTATAATACGTTCTTTTATACTTATGTTCATTAACATATGTTGATTAAACATGTTTTTTGGGTTTCAAAAATACAAAGTATGTTGTTTGAATTTGACTCGTATGTTCTTTGAGGTACGTAACGAGTGACGCACAAATTCTATTTTGAATTATCATATATCATTTATTTTATTATCGTATATTCATTGAGTTTGATCACAGTGTTCTTCGAGTATAAATTATATGTTCTTAACATTATAACTTATGTTCTTTTAACATAAGTAATTTTGAATTTTGAAATTTAATTTGAAAATGAAATCTTGAATTTTTTTTGTTTAAAATATTTTAGAGAGCGAAAACTAAAATTATTATGGAATATTGAATTTTTTGAGAGAGAAAAAACTATTTTTAGGGAAATGATATCTTTAGTAAAGATTTTTTTGGTTAATGTGTAATTTTTCAAAAATTTTAATAAAGTTTTTATCACGTTCTTTTTGTAATGCCTTTATGTTCTTTAATAATGCATGTTCTTTGATAAATACAAATATGTTCTTTTTCAAAAACCGACATGTTCTTTTTCAAACACCTAAATGTTCTTTTTGCCTTTTTTTTTAATTTAACCAGGTGCACCATGTGCATGGTGCACCCGGGTGCACAGATCATGCATTACACTTAAGTGGTATCTTTTGTTCATAAGGACCTATTAAGAAAAATGTTGTTTAAAAGGACCACATAGAACGGTTTGGATTGGTGAGAGGGACCAAATCCATTTTTCAGGCAAGTCAACGTCACAGTCAGGCGTTGACCGTCACATGCCAGGCACGTGACTCATTAAGTTGACCCAAATTTTTTCTCTCTCTTTTTTTCTCCCTATTTTCCACAATCCCCCCCCCCAACTTTCCCCATTACCCCCAAAATTTCCCTTTCTTCTTCTTTCTCTCTCCTCGAAGCACAAACCCTAGATTGAATGCAACTTGCAATTGCGCCTTTTTTCTCTAAATGAATTCATCTAGACTACAATTGAGGACAATTTTCACAAAATAATCTTTGTGAATTTTTTTGGATTTTGTCGAAATTAGGGAATTTGGGGTGAAGTTCTTCATTTTTGTGTTTTGTTGAAAACTGGATTTGCTGCAAGATAAATACAAAAGACATTGAATCAAGAGAACTAAGTGCAATTGTGGAATTCCATTGGTGCAAAGGACACATCTTGGACCCATGACAACCCAGGAAGACGATTTAGAAGTTGGGAAAATTGTGCGTTTTATTTGCCTTTGCCTTGTGTTTTCCCTTTTCCATTTGCCATTGATAAGGTCGAAAACAAAAAAAATTGAACAAAAATGGTGAGGAAACACTCCAAATAAAGTAAAGAAAGTGACAAGAGAGAGAGTACACAACTAGAAAAGACCGTTTTCCAACGGTATCGTTCCGACGGACTTAAATTCCGTCGAAAATTCAAATTTTTCGACGGAATTTGAGTCTGTCAGAAAAGAAAAGTTGCGACGGAAAATCCCTCCAAAATATTCCGACGGTTTTTTTTCCCACGGAAGCTGAAAATTCTGAGGGAAAAAAAATCCGTCGGAATGTATTAATTTTGACGGATTTTAATTCCGTAAGAATTTTCCGAAGGAATATAAAGCCCTTCTGACGGATTTATGACTTAAAAAAAAAACCCTAAAGATCCCGGATTCCCCCTCCCCATATATTTCTCATTTCTCTCTCCTCTCCTCTCATCTTCTCTCCGCCTTTCTTCTCCTTCTTCATTTTTGTTTCTCTTTCATTTCTCCTTCTTCTCTTTCCTTTCTCCTTTTTTTCTTTCCTTTTTCTTTCCTTTCTCCTTCTTCTCTTTCCTCTTCATTTTCAATCTCAAATTAATCTTGGTTTTTTTTCCCTTAATTTTCGCAACAAGTTGCTATGGGTGTTCGAATTTTCGTCAAAATTCGAATAATTATTGTACATCACCGGCAAAACTATCTCCACCGACATCAACACAACCACCAACAAATTTTCTTCACCGACATGCAGACAGAGCTTAACCGGATTTGTTGAGAAATCGAGACCCACATCCGAGCAAATGGCATTTGAAGAGCAATATTTTGACTTATTTTGTTTTTTTTTCTGATTTTGATTTTAGAATTGTATTATTCGTTTTTTTTCGTGTTTTTGTTTTTTGTTTGGATTTTGATTTTGTATTATTCAATTTGCGTATTAGATCTGTTTTTTTTTTAATTTGTATATTTAATTAATTTGTTTGCGTATTAGATCTTTTTTTTTTTTGGATTTTGATTTTGTATATTCAATTTTGTATTATTCAATTTGTGTATTAGATCTGTTTTTTCGTTATTTTGTTTTTTGAATGAATTTTTGTTTTTTTTTTTTTTTATTCTGGGTGGGGGTGGTGGTTGTCCGAATGTGGTTTAGGTGGGTGGGTAGATCTGGGTATTCGGTGTATGTGATGGTCTGATTTTAGGAGGGTTGTGGTTAGGTGGGTCTGGGTCGGTGTTTTTGGTGGGTATGGGTTAGGGTGTGGTGTGGGTGGTGGTCTAGGTGTGCGGAGGGTCTGTGTGTGGGGAGGGGGGGTGGGTGGTGGTTCGAGTCTGTGTGTGGGGTGGGTAGTGCTCTAGTCTGGGTCTGGATGTGGTTGGTAAGGGGTGGGTGTGGGTGGGGTGGGGTGGTGGTCTGTTTTTTTTTTTTTTTTTTTTATTGTTTTTGCTGTAATTTCCGACGGAAAATCCATCGGAATTCTCTGACGGAAAACCCGTCGAAATTCTCCGATGGATTTTTTCGTCGAAAAAACGCGAAATTCCTACAAAATATAATATGACGGTGCGTTCCGAAGGAATTCCATCGGAAACCAGCAGTTCCAATGAATTTTTAGGATATTCCGAGGGATTATTTCCGTTGTTGATTAGTTTTTTTCTAGTAGTGGAAGAAGAAAGACTTTACCTTTAATAACCTATTAAATCGCTACGCTGATCTCACCAACAATGGCAGACATCACTTAATGCCGTGAACGAACAGTGCTTCAAGGGGAGAGAAAGAAGAAGAAAGGGAAAAATTGGGGGTAATCGTGGAAAAGAAGGGTAAAAACAGAGAAAAAAAGGTCAACTTAATGAGTCATGTGCCTAGCACGTGATGGTTAACGCCGGACTCCGACGTTGACTTGCCTGAAAAATGGACTTGGTCCCCCTCACCAACCCAAACCGTTTTATGTGGTCCTTTAAACAACCTTTTCCTTAAAAGGTCCTTCTGAACAAAAGAGACCATTTATATATTCCTTTTGAATAAATTTTCCAAAATCTTACAAGTGTGCATGCACATTATCTATTAAATTATAAGTCCTCTTTTTAACTTGCAAATTACATTGCGTTAGGGGCCTCGGGGCTAAACTTTTATTTTATTGAATTAATCAATTAATTTATTTTATTTTAAAGATAGCTATGATACTCTTAGTGGATAACTTGAAAAAGAAAAAATAAGATAAGATGAGATAAGTAACGAGGTACCTTAAATTGCAGCTTAAAATTTCTAAGTCAGTCGATGTAACTTGTGGCGGTGCCAACTTTCCATTGAGACTACACCCAACAAACCTCAAGTTAGCCTGAAAGAAAGACTTATAATCAAGGTCTTTTTGGTAGGGACCAAAAGAGAATTTTGTTACAAATATTAAATTATAAATCCTCTTTTTAACTTTGATATATATAATTAGGCAAAATAGCAAACTACATTGCGTTGGGGGCTGGGGGCCAAACTTTTATTTTATTGAATTAATCATTTAATTTATTTTAATTTAAAGATAGCTATGATACTCTTAGTGGACAACTTGAAAAAGAAAAACTAAGATAAGATAAGAAACGAGGTACCTTAGATCGGCAACTTAAAATTTCTAAATCTGTCGATGTAACTTGTGGCGGTGCCAACTTTCCATTTGAGACTATACCCAACAAACCTCAAGTTAGCCTGAAAGAAACACTGATAATCAAGGTCTAGACCGCGTGCTTTATGCCATCTTTTGCATCCATCCTAGGTTATGGCAACGCGTTTAAGAATGATAAACTCTCCTTGTTGGAGCTTCACCATAGAATTCTCATTGACTTCCTTTGATTATTGATTCAAAACTTCACGACTTTGTGCACAATTTATTGGTGCAACGAAGTTGTTTCTGTCTCTCAAAATTTTAACGCGAATTAAGTTGTATATGGGCAAATTTAGTAATGCATTATCTATGCACCCGGGTGCACCATGCACATGGTGCACTTGGTTAAATTTAAAAAAAAAAAAGGCGGAAAGAATATTTATGTGTTTGAAAAAGAACATCCAGATTTTAAAAAAAGAACATGTTTGTGTTTAACAAAGAACATGCATTATTAAAGAACATAAAGACATTACAAAAAGGACGTGATAAAAATTACACATTAACGGAAAAAATCTTTACCAAAGATATCATTTTCCCAAAAATAGTTTTTTCTCTCTCCAAAAATTAACTTTCCATAATAATTTTAATTTTCTCTCTCTAAATTAATTTCAACTAAGAAAAAACCAAGATTTCATTTTCAAATTAAATTTCAAAATTCAAAATAACATATATTAAAAGAACATATAATTCATACCAGAAGAACACACTGATCAAACTCAAAGAACATACGATAATAAAAAAACGATATATGATAATTCAAAAAGTATTTGTA